CGCTATAAAGCCAAATGCCCGGCCGCCTCCTGCCTGTCTCTGATTCCTTTTGACGGCTCTCCTTTTTTTACCTATTCTATTCCTCTTCCTCCCCTCTCCATCCCAACTAGATTCTCAACCACATTCGCTCGTTGCTGTTGCTATTGCTGTAAGTACCTCACCTGGACTCCCATCCCCAATTGCCCGCCACCTGCTTCCCCTCCAACCCTTCTTCACCCCAAGGTACCGCCGATCACCGCAACCGCACTCTATCTGCTCCAACCAAGCAGATTGCAGTTCTGATCTTGCTTCCGAAGCACCTCACTTTGCCTCTCTCTACCAATTTCGCCGTCTTGGTACCTCCCCCGCCCTTCCCCCCAGCTCTCGTTCACGGCGGGAGTACCTTGCTTTCCCTCCGCCGACCTGCCTCATTCCGCACCTTGCTTTATTTTTCCTCTCCCATATCACATGGAGAAGCTCACAAATTACGTCAGGCTACACAGAACACTTTGAGCTACCAGCAATCTTTTTCGCCGCAAATCCCACGGCGAATCCCCTGTCAATGTAGGCACTACCCCGCCGTCCTCGAAATCACCGCTTGTTTTTCCCTCTCCTTTTCCACACCGTCCCTTCTACACCTACAAAAAAAATACGATACACTAGAATTTCGCTCTTTGCTCCGGTACAATCCATTGACATTTTCTCAGCATATTCAGCTTCACACCGCGAATTGCGTCAAATATCCTTCACAATGGCTCAAGCGATCAAGAGCGCTCTTCCCACCCACCTCAAGTCCCCCCTCGGCGGCCAGGGCAAGAGCGATGAGGAGTTCAGCTCCCGTCACCACGGCAAGACGAGATCCCACATGGTACATACTCTATCCACCCTTTTCTTTCAGTGCACCTTTGAGCGAGGCATGTCGAGTACCGCGACCGGTGCCTGCTTTGTCCCGAGACAGACAGAACACGGCCTTGTGCAGTTCAAGAACCGCCATACCTGCTAGCTTGTGTCACTTCTTCCATGCCGAATACCTGAGATGTCGTGCGACGCTTGGCTACTTGCTTTACCTTGACGGCCGCGGCTGGGCCAGTCCCAAACGGCACCGTACAGCATCGTCAATGCGTGAGACGCCAAATACCTCCAAAGACATTTGCTAGCTTGACATGGCTGAAGGAGACAACCTGGGCGGTATGGTGTGCGCTGTTCTCTCCCCGGCAACAAGCTCTACGATGCCTGTCAGGGGTAGCAGCAAGCTGGCCACATTGGTCGCAGGGCCCCGCAGCGGATCACTCGACGATAGCTTCAAAGCATTCTCCACTTTGAGAAGCTTCCATTGCAGGACTTAGTCCCTTCTTCGTGAATGCGCGGCTGACTTCAAGTCCAGGCTTTCGAGAACACTTCCACCAGCGTTGCTGCTGCCCAGATGCGCAATGCCCTCACCCAGCTTTCTGAGACCGTCACCGACCCCGAGCAGAAGAAGGTAAGCAGAAAAATCCACCCCAGCTGTAATCTTGGGAACACGAGTTCTAATTATCTTACAGCTGTTCGAGACGGAGATGGACAACTTCTTCGCCCTCTTCCGTCGCTACCTGAACGACAAGGCCAAGGGCAACGCCGTGTAAGTGTACAACAGGAACCTGCGATACAAATAGCCTTCCAGCTAACAGTGTGATAGCGACTGGGACCGTATTGCTCCCCCCGCCCAGGGCCAGGTTGTTGACTACGAGGACCTCGCCAACTCCGAGTCCGTTCAGTTCCTCAACAAGCTTGCCGTCCTGAAGCTCAACGGTGGTCTCGGTACCTCCATGGGCTGTGTCGGCCCCAAGTCAGTCATCGAGGTCCGTGACGGCATGTCCTTCCTCGACCTGTCTGTCCGCCAGATCGAGTACCTCAACCGCACTTACGATGTCAACGTGCCCTTCATCCTCATGAACTCATTCAACACCGATGAGGACACCGCTTCCATCATCAAGAAGTACGAGGGCCACAACGTCGACATCCTCACCTTCAACCAGTCCAGATACCCCAGAATCCTGAAGGACTCTCTCCTTCCCGTCCCTAAGAAGACCGACTCTTCTATTAACGACTGGTACCCCCCTGGTCACGGTGACGTTTTCGAGTCGCTTTACAACTCTGGTATTCTCGACAAGCTCATTGAGCGCGGTATTGAGGTTGTCTTCCTGTCCAACGTTGACAACTTGGGTGCCGTTGTCGATCTCCGTATCCTCCAGCACATGGTTGAGACTGAGTCTGAGTACATCATGGAGTTGACCAACAAGACCAAGGCCGACGTCAAGGGTGGTACCATCATCGACTACGAGGGATCCGTCCGTCTTCTCGAGATCGCCCAGGTCCCCAAGGAGCACGTCAACGAGTTCAAGTCCATTAAGAAGTTCAAGTACTTCAACACCAACAACATCTGGCTGAACCTCAAGGCCATCAAGCGCGTCGTCGAGAACGATGAGCTTGAGATGGAGATCATTCCCAACGGAAAGACCATCCCTGGTGACAAGAAGGGCGAGTCTGACATCTCCATTATCCAGCTGGAGACCGCTGTCGGTGCTGCCATCCGTCACTTCAAGAACGCCCACGGTGTCAACGTTCCCCGTCGTCGATTCTTGCCCGTCAAGACCTGCTCTGACCTGATGCTCGTCAAGTCTGATCTCTACACCGTCAAGCACGGCCAGCTCCAAATGAGCTCCAGCCGCTTCGGTGACGCTCCTCTCATCAAGTTGGGTAGCGACTTCAAGAAGGTCTCTGACTTCCAGAAGCACATCCCCTCTATTCCTAAGATCATCGAGTTGGACCACCTCACCATCACTGGTGCCGTCAACCTCGGCCGCGGCGTCACACTCAAGGGTACCGTCATCATTGTTGCGACGGAAGGCAGCACTATTGATGTGCCTCCTGGATCCATCCTCGAGAACGTCGTTGTGCAGGGTAGCTTGCGCCTGCTTGAGCACTAAGTGGCTTTTTTGCAGGTTTTGTATTTTGAGCACATTCCAGTCAGATGTCACGATGCATTGAGAATCATCACAAGAAGACAATCTGGAGGCGAGATGGAACAGTAGAGAGAAACCAATGATCATTCCCCCCAAAAAGGCGGCGTCTGCATAAGGTATCTGTGGCAGCGGCAGAACAAACTCGATAGTATTTTAATAAGGCACCTCAAACCATGCGTGTGCATTTCGTTGACCTCCACTTGCACTTGCATTGGCTACGTCCCCGTCTGAACCCTGTGAATTGCCGTGGATTTTGGCATGGTCCATCGAGGACCGTTTGTGTGTAACGTCTGCCGGTAGCTTGGACCTGCATTTCCGTGTGGAGTGGTCCAGAACCGACTAGCAACGAGTAGCGGTGAGACAAAGAAAAAGAAATCTGAAAAGGCAACATGAGAAGCACAACAAAAACAAAAAATGAGGTGAACAAAACGCGCGGTTACATGCCTGTCCTTACTCCGGACACCACAGCGGGCGGGCGCAATCCGGGGGGTAAGGTAGGGGAGGGGGGGTCTCGACGTGGGATGCTGCCGCCGGATGCATGGTTTTGGTGGGCTGCCGGTTTCCGACTGATAGTCTACGCCTCCATGCATTTCTTTCTTGCTTCATGGAATAGCAGCAACATTTTGCATTTTGTAGGCAAGAACGGGTTCACCGAAAGCAAGATTTGTTAGGTTTTTGATGCGGGCATATTGGCACTCCGTTTTACGGGCAACAAGAGGCTAAATAGTGCGGGCCACCCCCCTATATGGTAAAGAGGTCTTATTCGCCGTCTTGTCCTTTGACAACCGTGGACAGCCCTGCAAGCGTCCAGATCGCCGTTCTCTCTTAGCTTCGTGGACTACTTCCCCTTTCTCGGTGACAACGACATCCATCCTCTTTTTGCATTGAATACGAGATACACCACCTTGAACTTACTCGACAGAACTCCTGACCTTGTCAATTGAGCCAGAAAAACACCTTCCACAACCAAACCACAAACCACAAACCACAAACAACACACAACACACAACACACGAAAATCATGGGCAGCCTCTCCGGCCCGGCAGCCACGGCGCTGCCGTACTGGCAAGTCAACGTCCCCACGGACCGCCGCACGGACGAGTGCCCGGAGGGCCTCCGCAACCTCTCGGCCAAGGACGTCGGGATCCTGAGCACGCCCGACGCGGCCTACAACCGGCAGACGTGGACGGAAGTCCGGCGGCTCGTCGAGACGAACCGTCTGGATCTGTTCCAGCGGGTGCCGAGCGAGCTGAGGCGGTACCGCCTGTTTATTCACCACCTGATCAAGGAGCATGGGAGTGTGATGAACTTTGTGCTGAGGCAGCGGCTTGGATGGGAGGAGCCGTTGAGGGCTACTGAGGGTAAGAGGCCGTTTGAGGCAGAGGGGGATTATAGGATTTTGTATAATGATTGGCCGTATGGAATCGATGGGCGGATTGTACATCTTGTTGTTTGGACAAAGTTTGAGTTAGAGGAGAATCCGGCTACGGGGGATTTGACAGAGAAAGCGAGGGAGGAGATTGATCGATTTGTGGAGGGGACGTTTCGGGCGAGAACGGAGCCTGATACTGTGAGTTTTCATCCTCTCTTCTTCTCTGTCATGATTTGGCGGTGCCCATCTTCAGAACGGACCTGCAATATGGACTTGAGTGAAGCTGACGATGATGACTAGGTCATTTGGTTCAAGAACTGGCGGAGTCTCAAATCCGTTCACGCGGTTGAGCATTTCCACGTCATGCTCTTTGACCCGGATCCCGCGTTCATTCGGGAGATTACCAATGGAGATGTGCCCCAATGTGACAAGTTTGAGGCATGAGTAGTAGGAAACTCGACAGGCCTACGGATCGGTGAAGGGGGGAGTTTGGGTGAGATTTCATGACGGCAAATGGCACAGATCAAGGGGGAGAGATGGCACGATAGCGAAAACTTTGTGGACTCTCTCACCGTCAACCTCGGTATAGCGAACAATGTTAGACTTAAGTTGATGTGGTTCTTTCTTTACGAAAACGATGGATTTGACTATGGCTTTGCCTGAGGCGGTTCTCTATACTCCACACACGAGGCCGCGGCCATGGTGATGGCAGTCGGCTTCTCCATGACGACCTTGATAGTCCAGTCTGCGGGATTGTTGAGAGGCTCATGAATATCTGATCGTTCTTGGTAGCACCGCCTGATCCCCGTAGTGATAGCGGGACCGAGGGCTTCAAGCGTCTCAAAGGAAGAGTCGCCCAGAATCTTTTGGTACCACGACTTGAGTCAGCAATGATCCATATATATGTAGACGGAGTGAAGAACTATCAAGACGGCGAATAAGAGGAAGAAGAAGTCACAAACCTTTACAACGAAAGACTCGATCTCGACGTAATTATCCGACCTTCCAATGTAGCCCTCGATCTCGATACTGACCACGACAACCTGCCTCGCTAGTCTCTCGTTGTCATTGACTCCGATGAGCGTAGGCACGCGCAGCTCGTTGATGCGTAGACTTGAGCTGTAGACCGCCCCTGCCTGGGTACCATTACGGAAGCCATGGGCTAAAGAGTAAGACCGGCTCACGCTACTACCGAGCAGCGATGCCTTTGGTAGGGCGAGGGAGATATCCAGGTAGCGAATTCTGGGCAGCTTGTCCTTCAGGAATGCCGGCTCCGTGAGACCATCAGCCCCAGACCCGGAGACGTGGTACCCAGTCAACGCGTTCCAGATCATCTGCATGGCGTTTTCCAGGCTTAAATCGACCTCGTAGCGGTTCACGTTGTCCAGTATGCGGAGGAGCGCCTTGGCCAAGAGGCCATAGTGCACCGTGTCATCGCTGACCTTGTCCGCGAGTGAAGCGGCCTCAAAGGGCTCTGACATTGACAGCTCGGCGGAAACAACTACGGGCTGCGTCTTGCCCCCGCGGCCCCAGGCGTCGGTGCCGGCTTTGATCGTGCTATGAAGGTCGCGGACCCGGACCACCGCAAAAGGCTCGCCGGCCTCGGCGCGGACCTGCCACGACGAAACTCGTTTCGACTCCATGTGAGCAAAGGTGCAATTGATAATCAAACTCAATGAAAATTCGATTTCTTCGAGACCGGCCAAGATACACGGTCGGTTGGGCGGGATGAGGTGAAGGATGAACGTTGGACGGATTGGCGGCAGCTCAAGGTGAACGGGTCTCACAAACTCAGTATGCACTGGCTGAAGAAAGTGCCCTACATGACGACTACCTAAACAATCGCGGGGTCCACCACAACCATAAAATCACCCACATCATATGCGATGCTCTCATGCACATCAACACAGTAGCAGGTACCAGTTGAAAAGTTTTAAATGAAGGGCTCGACAAGCGGAGATGTTCTCTTCTTTGTCCATTTTTATTACAATGCGTTATTTGTTTGAATCTTCCTGCCGAACCCAGCAATATGCTACCCCCCTCATCCATCCAAGATGGAATGGCAAGCGTTTATGCTACGTTGGCAATCGCCCTCATCAAGATATACACCTAAAGATTCAACCACTTGCGCAGATCCTCAGTATCACGGGAAGTCCATGCGATCTTGGCCTTGACCGAGTCGGTGGACTGCGACAAAGCACGCACGAAACCCTTCTTCTCCTTCTCCGCGAAGAACCTGTCGAGCTTATCCAGCTGTTCTTGCTTGGTAAGCCCGCTTGTGCAGTAGCTCACAATGCTGCCAATCATGGAAGATTGAGCAGGGAACTTGGTGTAGATCTCCTCCCATCTCGTTTGCAGCCAGTCAAACAGGGCCTCGATGCCGCCCTTGCTCGACCGCAGACTGCCGATCGGAATGTAAATATCTTGGTCACGAACCTCGCCGCTCAGCAAAAGATCCAGTGTGCGTTGGCGGAGCTTGGGGTCGCGGGATTGGCCAAGGGTTCGGAGAGCGCTGTTGCGCTCGTCGGCGGTCTCAGCGGTCTTGTAGTACTTGTACACGGCGTCATACTGTGATTTTAGTTAATGGCTTGCTTCAATGACATCTTCAAGGAACAGGCATACCTCTTTCTCGCCGCCAAACTTAAGAACAATTGAAAAGACGGAGCTTCGGATGTTGGGGTGAATCGCCGTCTTATCTCCAGCCGCGAACTTCTCGAACATGGCCCGAGCAGCAGCAACAACCTTCTCGTCACCAGACATACCGGCCGCACTAAAAGTGAGAGCCTTGTACTGTTGCTCAACGTGGCCATCGTTGCTCGAAAACTCCCATCCTAGCTTGTGTGCGATACTGCCGACAATTTCCCGCTGGAACTCGGTGAGCTTGTCAACGACAGCGTCATCCTCGATCCAGGCCATCTTGATTGAGCCCAGACGGGTGAGGATCTGGTCCCACACCAGGTACTCGGCCTCGCCTCCCTGGCTAAGAGCCTTGAACAGACTCAAAAGAGACGAGGTCTTCTGGTAGCCAGAGGTTGCGAGAGCAGCCGTGTCAGCCACGATACCAACTCTGTCCTGGACGGAAAGGAGTTCCGCAGCGTTTCCAAGCTTCTCCAGACGATCAATAGCGTACTTGGTACGGTAGAATCCCGTAGAATCGGCGTTGATCTTGAAGAACTCGGCATCGTCAATCTCGAATTTGGTGTCACGAGTAGTGAGCATCAAGTCCTTGTCGACACCCCCCTTCGTACGGACGTTCAAAGAGATGGGGTAGAGAACCTTGTCTTCATCGGGCTTGACGTCTCCTGTGGTCAGGAAGCGATGCTGCTCCACGCTAATTGACTTGCCTGACTCGGTGACAGAGACGACGGGGTATCCCACGTTCTGGGTCCAAATGTTCATGATGGAGCCAACGTCCTTGCCGCTAGCCTCGCTCAAGGCTTGCCACAGGTCATTCGTAGTGGCATTGCCCCAAGCGTGACGCTTAAGGTACTTGCGGACACCCTCCATGAATACATCCTCTCCAAGGAATGCCGAAAGCATGTGGACAACACAAGAGCCCTTCGCGTAGCTGATACTATCGAAGATCTCGTTGATCTCCTCGGCCTTGTGGATGGGGACCTCGATAGGGTGACTGCTCCTAAGTCCGTCGAGACCCAATGCTGCCTGAAGATCTTCCCTGACGAAAGACTCCTTGAGCTTCCACTCGGGGAAGAAGGCGTTCATGGAATAGCGAGACGCAAACTCGGCGAAGCCCTCGTTGAGCCACAGAGCGTGCCACCAGTCCGGAGACACAATGTTTCCGAACCACTGGTGAGCAATCTCGTGAGTGATGACTGTCGAAACTCGCTCCTTGGCTGCGGCACCACTGGTCTTGTCGTCAAACAAGACTTCAACAGTACGGTAGGTGACCAGACCCCAGTTTTCCATAGCGCCAGCGGCGAAATCGGGAATGGCAACCTGGTCAAGCTTAGGCAGAGGGTAAGGAAGACCAAAGGCCTTTTCGTAGAACTCCAAGGCCTTGACACCGATATCCAAGGCATAACGGCCTCTCTCGATGTCCTCGGAAGGCGGAGCATACACTCGGATGGGTACTCTGAAGTCGTTGGTCTCAATGTAATTAAGCTCTCCGACGATGAAGGCAACGAGGTAGGTGGACATGACGGGAGACCTGTTGAAGCTGACAGCCTTCTTTCCAGAGGGCAAATCTTTCTCTTCAGCCACATCCATGTTGGAAAGGCAGGTCAGGGCCTTGTCAGCAATCAACGTGACGGTGAACTCGGCCTTGAGTGCTGGCTCATCGAAACAAGGGAAGGCTCTGCGGGCGTCGGTAGGCTCCATCTGGCTGGTGGCCATGATACCCTTGGTGCCATCCGGCTTGTTGTAGTATGAGCGGTAGAAACCCGCCATTTTGTCGTTCAGCTCACCGACGAACTTGATCTCGAGGGTACCCTTGCCGCCTTTGGTGAGCTTCTCCTTGAACTCGAAGCTGTGCCATTGCTTCGACTCGTCGTAGGTGACGACTGGTTCGCCAAGGCTCTTCTCTTGTCCTTCGACAGAGAAGGACAATGAAGTGTTCTTGATCTCGATTTCATGGGTGTTCAAAGAGATAGTGTTAGAGTCCTCCGCCACGTCAAAGTCAATCTTCACCAAGCCATCGAACTTGAGCGTCTCGAAGTTGGGCTCAAGAGTAAGATCGTAGTGGCGCGGGACGACGTTGGTAGGCAGCTGTTCCCGAGGGTAGTTCAGCGTGCCAGCGCCGCCATGCTCTCCGTGTCTGCACATACTTCTCTTGTAGGAGCAGTATCGTGTAGCAGCGACGCGCTGAGGGTTCTGGAGTCGTGAGGTTCGTCGAGGAGGGGTAGCTCGGAGTACTGGCGAACGGGTCGCAAAGGCGTTGTGATTTCGTAGTCGGTAGGGACTGTTGAGGAAGTCAGGTCAATGGGTAACTCAAAAGTGGAAAAGTGACCGGATAAGAGTATAGGTGTACTTACATGCGCGTGATTGGTCTTGCCGTCGTGTTGACGATGCGTGGGGTTAGGTTGACCGTTCGTCTTGTTGCGACACGGAACGCCATTGAGGAGGGGGAGGGGGCCAAAGCCGCAAAGGAACGAAAGCGGTCGGTCTGCTAGGCACCCAAGCTGTCTAAGGAAGGTACATGCAACAGAGACGTGGGGTCCAGCTGAGGGGAAGCTTCCAGTTCTTCTGTGCAAATCAATGCTCCAGTCTCAGAAGTGGAAGGCGCCGACGCAGGCCGCGCAGACCGCTGGCAAAGGTAGAAAACTCTCCCCACATCCCCATGCCTCAGGTCACTTTCTTTCCCTCAGCGCCTCCCGGACCCACACCAAGCCGCTTCCACCCGATACGGCCCACTGCCGTACCCGTGCTTTCCTGGGAGGGCCCGTCGGGTGTGCTGTCCGGGCTAGAAACACGGGATCTGCCTTACTTGCTGCCTTCCGGCCGGCCTTAGAACACGGATTGCAATCGGAGGTCTTGTGGGGGATGTAGCCGTCAATTTCCGGGCGTGAACAATATTGAATCGCAACGATTAAGATCACCACAGTGCATCCCACAAATCCTCCGCAGTCATCATAACTTAGTTGTCTGACTAGACACTTCCGCAGCTCATTGGAAAAGACAGCAGAAACTATCTTGCAAAGGATGCATGTAGCAACAAAGCAAGACTGAAAACCCCCGACACTTACAACTTAATTCGCAAGTTCTTCTTTGCTGAGCTAGCGGGATGATGTAGCACATCCTCAACTTTCGCCATTGGTTAGATCGATCCCAACATTGCTCCATCTGCACGAGTTGCAGCATTGAGTCCAAACTGTATCAACGGCCTACTTGCCGTGCGATTACAAAAGAACTTCTTTAGCGAAGGGCCGAAAATCTCCTCATGATCAAAGCAGGCCCCGGGAGGCAAGGGGACCTTAGGCACCGGAAGTAATGCTTGAAGAATTGTTTGGTAGCAATGACAACTTGTCACGTGCGCTTTCCGCTAGCTGTAGAGCCTTGCTTCAAGAGCAGGTTGACAAAAGCTGGGAAATTGTGTATCCTACTATGAAAGCCAGCGTCTATATGGGCCAACCGAGAGACTCGAAGAATGCCATATCCCAGTGATGTGCTATGTATGACTTATACTCGGGTGAAAGCGGACAAAGAGCTTGCAGGCACGCGGATGTGCCCAAGGCAAGCCGACTAACATGCTGTCTCCCCGGGCGAGAACCACCTCCCCGGGTCGAAGCCAGACGTCATTTCCACTTGAGCTCCAGACGATTAGGTCAAAATTACTCTAGGCAATATCAGCTGCCTACAGAATGACTTGCCTGCCGACCCTACACTTGTCTTACCCCGGCTTTACTAGACGGGGTGACGGGGTCGGGATCCATGATCGGGAAGAACCGCATTAGCACCTGGCTATTCCGAGCAACATCCTCGGGATAATCCATGGCGTACAGCCTGTCCCAGACCATTTGTGGAGTCAGAATGCCATTGTTTGATCTCAATTGCCAATTAGCAGCTCGTCGTTGGACCGGGGTGCCAGGGAAAAGACGTCTTGAAGATCGGGTGTCGGGACTTGTAGATTGTCGAAGACGCACTTTGACGCAAGCTCAGTCCCTAGAGTCCACAAGATCCCGATGATGGATGGCTGGAGAGCCGTTGTGCGAGAGACAATGGTTGTGGGCAGCCAATCAGACCACACGAGGATGCCAACGGCCGATGGGCAAGGAATCAAGACATGGCAACGGCCTTTGTTTTGTCCAGGACCGAGGTCAGTGACTGGTTAGGGCACCTGGAAAAGACACAGAAAGCCATGGAATTTATGAGGCCGGACTCGGGGCTGGGGACGAGGGACGAGAATAGCGAGAACGGCCCAATGAAGAGAGACAAGGGCAGAAACGTGTTCCAGATCCCTCCCAGCTGCTGGCCGCTTTGGCAGGGCAGCGTTTTCATTGCTTGGTTTGTTGAGAGGTGGCCCTCACCAATGATGCATTTATCGTGGTGAGGCGGTGCTAAGACCAGTACCAAAGATACTTTGAAACGAAGCTGGTTTGTGATATTCTTGGCCGTTTGGAGCTTGGGGCCCATGTAGCGCTCTAACAGGGCAGATGCCCCGCCTCGTCTCGAGAAAAAGCGATTGGGCACCCGTCCAAGATACCCCCAATCTTTTGAGCGATCCAATGGCGCCGTGGGCACCTGCCCCGAGCTAAGTTAAGCAACTTATGATACCTTACCGTAGGTACCTCACCTCACGTCAGGACTCAGGACTCCGGTGCAGCAGCAGGGCAGGTGGGGTTGCAAACGAAGGTACCTACCTTACCCTTACCTGAGGAGGGAAACGACCCCTCCAAAACAATCTGCTCCCACCGTGCTCCTGCTGTCCCTCACCCCCGCCTCTGTCGCCATCAACCTCTCTTCCATCACTTCAACCTCATCTTTTTTTCTTCATACGCAAGTAATTGCTGAGGTCTTACTCCGGCTCTATCAATCAAAACTCCACAAGTAAGTTGTCTCATCATACGTTTCCACTCCACTGCACCTGGCGATAGTCTTGGGGAAACACCTGGGAGCTTGCAAGCTGTGTCCGAAGAATCACCCCACCATGCCATCCCACCCTGAGGCAATTCTTGCTGTCCGGTCAAGGAGCGAGCACTTGCAAGCTTAGCAATTTCCCCCAATCGGTCCTATCACATTGTTGACTCACCCACTTGTCTCTTTTCTGCCTTCTGCCAATATAAAGCCTTTCCCTCCCCCCACGACCATCTACTGACCTCTCTCTCCCCTCTTCGTTAGGAACAAATCCATCACACGAGACAACATGGCCATCACCAAGATCCACGCTCGCTACGTCTACGACTCCCGTGGCAACCCCACCGTCGAGGTCGACGTCGTCACCGAGACCGGCCTTCACCGTGCCATCGTCCCCTCCGGTGCTTCCACTGGTACGTCGTCCTCGTCCTCGCATCCTACCCCTGCCGAGAGATAAAAAGTATCGAGAAGCTGATAGAACCCATTGAACAGGCCAGCACGAGGCCTGCGAGCTCCGCGATGGTGACAAGACCAAGTGGGCTGGCAAGGGTGTCACCAAGGCTGTTGAGAACGTCAACTCCGTCATTGCCCCTGCTCTGATCAAGGAGAACCTTGATGTCAAGGACCAGACCAAGGTCGACAAGTTCCTCATCGACCTCGATGGAACCCCCAACAAGACCAAGCTCGGAGCCAACGCCATTCTCGGTGTCTCCCTGGCTGTCGCCAAGGCCGGTGCTGCTGAGAAGGGTGTCCCCCTCTACGCCCACGTCTCCGACTTGGCCGGTACCAAGAAGCCCTACGTCCTTCCCGTTCCCTTCATGAACGTCCTCAACGGAGGGTAAGCGATCCTTGCTACTACTATCATCCAACATTTGCTCACTCCATGCTACAGTTCCCACGCCGGTGGCCGCCTCGCTTTCCAGGAGTTCATGATTGTTCCTTCGTAAGTTGTCCCACGCATCGAGTCTCCTTTGGCCTGTTCTGTTCCATCAGCTAACAATTGTGAAGTGCTGCCCCCTCCTTCTCCGAGGCCCTCCGCCAGGGTGCCGAGGTCTACCAGATCCTGAAGAGTCTGGCCAAGAAGAAGTACGGCCAATCCGCCGGCAACGTCGGTGACGAGGGTGGTGTTGCCCCCGATATCCAGACTGCCGAGGAGGCCCTCGAGCTCATTGCTGAGGCCATTGAGAAGGCCGGATACACTGGCCAGATGAACATCGCCATGGACGTTGCCTCCAGCGAGTTCTACAAGGAGGACGCCAAGAAGTACGACCTCGACTTCAAGAACCCCGACAGCGACCCCACCAAGTGGATCACCTACGAGCAGCTTGCTCAGCAGTACTCTGACCTCGCCAAGAAGTACCCCATTGTCAGCATTGAGGACCCCTTCGCCGAGGACGACTGGGAGGCGTGGAGCTACTTCTACAAGACCCAGGATATCCAGATCGTTGGTGACGACTTGACTGTCACCAACCCCCTGCGCATCAAGAAGGCCATTGAGCTCAAGGCTGCCAACGCCCTTCTCCTCAAGGTCAACCAGATCGGTACCCTCACCGAGTCTATTCAGGCCGCCAAGGACTCCTACGCCGACGGCTGGGGTGTCATGGTTTCTCACCGCTCCGGTGAGACTGAGGATGTCACCATCTCCGACATTGTCGTCGGTATCCGGGCTGGCCAGATCAAGACCGGTGCCCCGGCCCGTTCCGAGCGCCTTGCCAAGCTCAACCAGATCCTCCGCATCGAGGAGGAGCTTGGTGAGAACGCCGTCTACGCCGGTGCCAACTTCCGCAAGTCTGTCAACCTGTAAAGTGGTTTAGCGATTACGAAGATGAGCTTTTGCGTTCCATAGTCCGATGGTAGTATTCTTCCCGGAAGACTCGGCAGGACTGGGGTGAAAAAAATTGATGAGAAACGTCTGGCGTATAGGAAATGCGCAATGGAGGGATGAATGGGAGCATCGATGATGAAATTCGTAGCTTACCGCACTTTATCCTACAATGAAAAAAGAACAAATATCCCCCAATGTTGAGAGCTTCAGAAGGTGCCTGAGAGGTCACCCATGTTGATGCCGGCGATTAGATCAAAAACTACCTTATTACAAAAGAGCATCGACCGCCCTACCGCGAGCTTTGGTGAGCTCCGATATATAAAGATAGCTCCATGAGCCCCGCCAATATTGACCGCGTGAAAGATAAGGTCCCTGGATGGCACTGTTTAGAGCAACTTTTTGGTAGGCGTCGTCGGCCAAGAGTGGCATTATGTAATACAAGCAGCTAAGCTCTGACGCTTGATGCGGCTAGCGCTCTTTTTTCCTTTGACCCATCAGATTCAGAAGACGTGGGTGTGGACGTGGAGCTGAACACATGCACACATACACACACCGCTCAGTGCACCGGTACTACACTCAGCTTGTGGCCCAATCACTTGGATTCAGGCTGGATGCTGCAAGGTGTGCCATGCCTGGGCTGAAGAACTGCAGCAAAGAGTAGCCTCCAATTGCCTCGGACGACAAAAGTTGGCAGCCCGAGAAAGGTGAGAGGCACCGTGCACGACTTCAAACTCCCGTCCCCCCTTCCTCAGTACCTAGGAGCTACGAGTTCACAGCCAGCTAGAAGGCTTGCTAGCGCGAGTGCTGAATTATCTCAGTCTTCTTCACCCATCAATTACGGATCCAGTTGATGCAGCGTACATTGCAGAAGCTTAGGACAAGACAGTTCGGACACAGCCGGGCGTTCGCGCGACGCATGTGTCGTCATTCATGAGACTACACACACCAGACGAAGAAAGAGGAATTCCTGAACAACTGGCGAGCCAGCAATATTGCCGTGTCGCAACCTGGACACCGAGTCAGTGTGTACTACTTTCCTTCTCCTTTGTCCTTCTCTTCTGTAATGGCTTGGCGTATCTCCCCTCCGCTGCTTCTGCGGCTCTCTTCATCACTATACGCAGTATATCCCGTACTAGACGCGGCCGATGCTTCACATGCAGCATGCCGCCGCTGCCGCTGCCGCTTCATGAATGCTAGTTCTGGCTTAGAATCACATTCCACAACATTCCACAACTTGACGCGCGGGCGATGCTTTCTTTGCCTTAGTTACCCCAGACCACCTTGTCGGGCTCAGGCTCGCATTGAAAGATGTGCTTCTACTTTTAGCGTCCCCATGCACCGTGGAGCCAAGAGCCGTGTCGTCCCCTGCCCTACTCCATCCGCATCCTATCTAATATCTACCTTACCGATATCTGCGTCATCTCTGCTATCTGTGAGGCGCCGACATTTGTTGTCTCTTGCGGTCACCCTACTACCAACTCCCCACCACCACTCTAGGATTTGTTGTTGTTAGTGTTGCACCTTCCTGGCTGTAACTGACTCCCCGGCTATCTAGCATAACAACTTGAGCAGCCCACTCGGATTGTGACAGGCGAGAGCGTGGGGGCAGCCCCTAACTTGCCACTATCCACGTGGGTGTCTCGCGCCGTCTTCTCACCATCACCGCCAGTTTTTCCGCCAAACATCCCATAGCTCACTTATTACGTACGACTGAGCTCTGTCTACACGTTAAATGTCCTATCGATCCTAGCTCCAGCCATATGTCACATCACCGTCGCCTACGCTACATTCTATCCCATCACGAAGGGAAGTTCGATACAGTCCGGCCATACTATGTCGGAGCGCACCCGACGGGCACGCCTCCAGCTTCCGGAAGAACGGCCGCTGCTGCAACGGAACCGTGCCAGTCACACCTCTGAGATTCAAGTTCCTCTCTATGGCTGCATGGTCAATCCTCACAGCCACTTACCAGTATACACGAATATTCACCGTATACGACGAGACATCATCTCCATTGTTGAAGACTATTTGAGTTTGGAACAACTTCGTGATGTGCGTATCAACATCGCCGTCGTCCGCCCACTTGTCGACAAATTGTATGAGCTCGACGACATCTCCATAGGTATGTTCAAAGTCATCCGTCTCTCTCACCTCGATCTTCAATCTCGTAGAAACCGAGATCGATCTCGATTGCGCGGAGTCGTTTTGTTGCAAATAACCTGACTGTCACAAGTGTATTGCCTGCTTGTGAACCGTGCTCAGTTCCTATATGAGCAATCTCACTTGAACAATCGGCAAAATGTCAATTACAGTCGCGCAGCTCTATGCGAGCTGGTGGCAACGCGGATATTGAGGCGCTTTAGCGAGGACAATGAAGGGCCTGATGGTTTAGTGCTGCTAGCACACATCCTGGTTGCCGGCTTTGAGCCCTTTCAGATGGCACCGGCCGGGATTCGTGAGGCAGCCTCGACGGAGTCCTATCGCAGCTACAACCGTATGCTTCCTTCGCTCGAAGTTGCTATCTTGACTGAGAGTAAATACTTCCTCAGTGCTACTCCTTGCCAGAAAGTGTAGGTTCTCGCCTTGCAGATTATAGTTTGGGGCAGACACTAACAACGGTCTCAAGCGTCGATGCCATTTACGAAGGCCGTATTGTCTACACTCCTTCGAGCTTTATGGACATTATTCCAGACCACTACAAACTCAAGCCTATCTCACTCTACAACCCACGCGAAGGGCCACTACTGGACCAATATCGACTCCTTGTGCCTCGTACCAGAAACATTCTCGAGGTTTTCCAGTTCCTGATTCTGCTGGCGCTCTATCTCTTTGTCATGGCCGAGCGAAAGCCTGAGACTTTCACCGTCTTGGAAGGTTGTTTCGCCGTCTATGCCTTCGGGTGGTCTCTCGATCAATTTGCTACTATTTTGGAGCATGGCTGGTAAGAGAACCCAACTCTTGTTACAAACAGCAGCGTCACTCACGACAAGACAGGCACGTTTACACCCAGAATCTGTGGTCCTTCCTTGATGTTGGCTTCATTGGCATCTATGTTGTATACGCGGTACTGCGCATCCATGGAGCTCGAGTCGGAGAACTTGTTCCAAAACAACAAGCTCTCGACGTACTTGCGATGGGTGCCCCAGTACTGGTCCCGCGTCTTGCCTTCAACTTGCTATCGGATAATCTGGTGTTTCTCTCCTTGCGGTCCATGATGTCGGACTTTGTCCTTCTCACGTTCTTGTCGGCATGGTGTTTCGGTGGCTTTCTACTGTCGCTTCTGTGGCTTGGTGAAGGTGCACATCCTCCAGTGTAAGTTGCTCCAGGAACTGGCCTACCTTGTACAGCTTCTAATCCAACTGTAGCACTATCAGTAAGTGGATGCTCTGGATCTGGTTTGGACTTGACGGGACGGGCATCAACGAATCGGTAAGAATCCCTTCTTCTTCGCCTATTTTTCCATACGTCAGGCTTAATAGTAATTTCCACTAGGTACAATTTCACCCCATCTTAGGTCCTGTCCTAATGGTCGCTTTCGCCTTCCTGGGAAACACTTTGTTCCTCACCATCCTCGTCTCGATGCTTTCCAATACATTTAGCACGATCGTTAAGAACGCGACTGCAGAGATAATGTTCCGCAAGGCCGTCTTGACCCTAGAAGGGGTCAAGGGTGATGCCATTTTTGCGTACCAGCCCCCCTTCAACATCCTGGCCGTCTTCGTCCTTATTCCGCTCAAATTCATCCTCACCCCGCGATGGTTCCATAAGATACATGTAGCTAGCGTTCGGCTAGTCAACCTTCCGCTACTACTGATCATCGCGGTGGCAGAACGCAGAATCCTTTGGCCAGCGCCGCAGCCGGAGAAGAAACAGTCTAGCAGCCTTACGCTGTACCCGAGGGTCAAGCAATGGTTCTGGGAGAAGTGGCGCATAACGGCCCACCGCGACATAAGAGCCGTGTTCGACCTACCGCCGCCCGAGTCCGTCGAGGAGGAGATTGCGGTGGACGACGAGCTCACGCACCATCTCATCCGGCGACAATTCACTCGGTCCATCACAAATGATACCATGCGGAAGAAGTCGCCTCTTAGGAGAGATTCGATGTTCCCGGGCGTGTCGTCCAAGTTGCGCGGGTCCTTTACGGGAAGCGAGGACATGCAAGACGTCAGCAGCAGGTTGGATTCTCTCGAGCAAACGTCCCTGAGAATCGAGGCCTTGCTGGCGCGCATGCTGGACGCCGAGGATTACTCTGACCGAGGCTTCGGTACTGGGGAGAGCAGCACCCTTCGTGATGGGGAAGCGCCTCTGACCCAGTCACCGAGTTAGCCACGTAGTTGTAGTGCAAACATTGGCAGACACGGGAGTGCAAAGTTCTGGCGTGTGATGATGTTTATATAAGTAGAAAGCATGCCTAAAAGTATGGAATCAAGTATCTTCAAAGGCAATGCTGCTCATAAGTAAACAACACATTGGGAATATCTTGTGCCTGTAATCTGAAGTAGGAAGTAGCATCTACCTAGCCCGTACGTACCATTCCACCTTCCCAAACTTCAGCCTTTGTCCACACTTCCCTACCTTCATATCGCGGCAGTCGAGACCAAGAACACCATAAACAAGACTTTTCTTCGACGTCATCATCATTGCCATATCATACCCCTCCAAAAAGGAAAGATGTGCGAAGTCTTCATCTACAAGCACGTCAAGTGCAAATGCGTCTGGGGCGAGATCGCCGTGCAATGCGGCCCCGGCATGGGCTATACGACATGCGGACAATTCGGCAGCGGCATCGCGAAGAGGCCTCTGCGACTCCAAATGGCGGACAAGCGGCCGTGTCCGACGCACGACCTGTACGGGCTTTACGACCGCAACCAGGCGCGGGTGATCAAGAAGATCACGCACGGCATCAAGATCGGGGCGGGGCCGAGTAAGCAGGACGCTGGGATCGAGGTCCCCTGCTGCGCTGTCATGTGAAGACGGTGGAAATTTACGGATATCATGAAGGCGCAAAGTACAAAGACGAAAGAGGCACGTGGGAGGGTTGATGTCTGGGTGGATGGAGTTGCCAAGCTGGGTAAGTGAAGCTGGTGACCGGGGGGGAGGCTGAGGCGCAGATGGGTTAGTGCTGGGGCTAACGTGTATTTACCCAGGGCCAAGACGCGATGACGATTCTAGGTGATGGGAGTTGAATGGCCCAGGAAGTTTCTCCTGCGTGGTTCGAGTTTGATACCCGAGGAGAGAAGGCAATGGCGGAGGGGAAGCGAGCAAAAGAAGAAAAAGCGAAGTTATGGAAGCTGGGCCGTTGGGGTTTTCGGGGTCGGGGTAGCTCTTCCGAAGTCGACTGACTATGAGCCTTCTGAAGGGGAACAATCAGCAGTAGCACACGCTGGTATCATCTTACTACGGCTCTGCTGCGTAATGATCAGTGATCACTAAGGTAGCAAGCAGCTTTCTCATGTTGACTTGAGTCATGGAATTAACGTTTCTACCGCATAGAGAGGACTAAAATTGCAGGTCCGAGCTGGTGAATAAGCCCCTAAGAATTTATCAGTCCTCAACGAAAGAGCTGGGAAGAAGAAGCAAGGGCAACCCGAGCCGGTGAAGTCATTCATGGAACATGGATACCCGAAGCAGTGCCGGCCGGACCTGGGAACTGTTTATTTCCCCTCTTTTTGGGCTTCTTTCCAAAAAAATTACCTACCATCTCCCCACCCTTCTTTCCCCGATTCACCCCACGCTTTCCTGTCTCTCTCTCCCCATGCGGGGAAATGAGAACATCAGACGTTTCTTCGTTCACTTGCTATTGCCTTACTCAATCATTTGTTTTGAGGCTACACCGTTGTTTTCATCCTTCTATTACAACGAGCTGTAAGTCATGTAAGGCACCTTGCGTGATCCAGGAAAACCTTCCTACGATTGGTTTCTTCTCTATCTTAACACCGGGACGTGTTCCCCTTTCCAAGCCAGACACCCAACGATAATTCCTGCCCCCCAGTCAAGGTTCTCTCCGCTAGTGCCAATTTCTCCGCATGTCGCTGTTTAGACTCAAGATGAAAGGGGTCACATTGTCGAAGGATCCATTGAAGTCGTTCGGGAAGACGTTAGATTGGTAGTCCGACCTCAATGGTCTCCCCCAGAGCTTCCCCACACCCAAGCCATGGATGAATATGTCGGCTTTCCTTTTAGCCTGAATACCATGGTCAACCCCATCCGCTCATCACCGCTGTCGGCCGGTTGCATTGGGAACCCGGGAACCCTGAGAGACTTCGGACTTGACAAGGCCTGGGTTGTGGGAAAAATGATGTTTTCCTGTTCCTGGTCCTGCGAGTCCCGCAGATCTGGGAATCCCACCCCCAGTGCACCGCTCGCGTGTCGATGAACGAACCAGCGCTTCTTCTTATAAGCTCGCGCACCCCCGATCCCACCATGTAACAGGTCTTTTGGAGCAAGTGCTTCTCTCCAACTGGTTCTTCTCGCCAGCAGCACCTCTTTCCACCGACTGCACGTCATGTGGAAGCTTCTTTTTCTTGCCTCTCTCGGCCTCGTTGCCGCAGAGGACGGCCTCGACGGCTGGTTGCGTTACGCTCGCCTACCAGAGTGCAAGTCTTCCGGCGTTGCCGAATCTCTTCCCTCTACCGTCATCGGCCTCAATGCGACAGAAAATGGCCCAATTGCTTCCGCCTTGTCCGAATTGACCAAGGGCTACCAAGGCATCCTCGGTAAAGACGTTTCTATCGGCCAGGACGCCTGTGCTGCTGCTTCCGTTGTCATTGCTACTGTTGACGACTACGTTGCTGCTTGTGGAAGTGAGGGCATTCAAGCGGACCTCATTGAGGATGGCTTCTGGCTTAGCGTCAAGGGAGATGGTGTCAAGATTCTGGGACAGAACGAGAGGGGTGCTCTCTACGGTACTTTTGAGTACCTGAGCCTGTTGGCCCAGGGCAACTTCACCGAGGTGACTTATGCGACAAACCCTTCTGCTCCTGTCAGATGGGCAAACCAATGGGACAACATGGATGGCACAGGAACTCATGGCAGCATTGAGCGTGGTGTAAGCAATCTTCCCTCCTCCTCATTCTCCTCCTCGGACCATCATTGAATGCGAACATGTCTGACTTGAGTAGTACGGAGGTGTTTCCATCTTCTTCGAGAACCTCAAGGTCGTCACCGACATGACCCGCGTCTCCCAGTACGGCCGTCTGCTGGCGTCCGCCAGAATCAACGGTATCATCGTCAACAACGTCAACGCCAATGCCATCCTCCTCTCCCCCGAGAACATGGACGGGTTAAAGAGGATTGCCGACGCTTTCAGGCCATGGGGTGTTCAGGTGGGCATCTCCCTCAACTTCGCCTCACCCCAGACATACGGCAACCTTTCCACTTTCGACCCCCTCGACGAGACTGTCATTGCCTGGTGGGGAAATATCACCGATGAGCTCTACGCGCGCATTCCCGATATGGCTGGATACCTGGTCAAGGCCAACTCCGAGGGTCAGCCCGGCCCCCTGACCTACAACAGGACGCTGGCAGATGGCGCCAACCTCTTCGCCAAGGAGCTCAAGAACCACGGCTCCAAGAAGGGCATCGTCATGTTCAGGGCCTTTGTCTACGACCATCTCACGCTGAACCAGTCCGATTGGCGCGCTGATCGTGCCAACGCCCAGGTCGAGTTCTTCAAGCACCTCGACGGCCAGTTCGATGACAACGTCATTGTCCAGATCAAGTACGGCGCCATTGACTTCCAGGTCCGGGAGCCCGTGTCGCCCCTGTTTGCCAACTTGAAGAACACAAGCATGGCCATCGAGCTGCAGATCTCCCAGGAGTATCTCGGCCAGCAGGATCACTTGGTCTACCTCCCTCCTCTCTGGAAGACGATCCTCGACTTTGATCTGCGCATTGACGGTCAGCCTTCTGTTGTTAGCGACATTCTTTCTGGCAAGCGCCTCAACAGGCCTCTCGGCGGCTACGCTGGTGTCATCAATGTCGGCGCGAACTCGACATGGCTGGGAAGCCATCTGGCTATGTCCAACCTCTACGCCTACGGCAGACTTGCGTGGAACCCTGCTGACGACGTTGTTGCCATTGTCCAAGACTGGACCCGTCTGACATTCGGTGTTGACCGCAAGATCGTCGACACCATTACCAAGATGTCCATGGAGAGCTGGCCCGCCTACGAGAGCTACAGCGGCAATCTGGGCATCCAGACCTTGACTGATATCCTCTACGCTCACTACGGTCCTAGGTAAGCAAAACTACACCCATCCTTCTTTTCCCCCATGACTAACTCCAAGTTCAGCCCGCGCAGCCAAGACGGCAACAGTTGGGGTCAGTGGACCAGAGCAGACGGAGACAGCATCGGAATGGACCGTACTGTGAAGAACGGCACGAGGAACGCAGGGCAGTACCCTCCCGAGGTGGCGGCCATGTACGAGGAGATCGAGACGACCCCCGACGACCTGCTCCTCTGGTTCCACCACGTGCCCTATACGCACAAGCTCAAGAGCGGCAAGACGGTCATTCAGCACTTTTACGACGCGCACTACGACGGCTCGGCTACGGCGCAGACATTTGTGCCGCAGTGGGAGTCCCTCAAGGGTCTCATCGACGAGGAGCGCTACGAGCACGTGCTGTTCAAGCTCAAGTACCAGGCCGGTCACTCCCTCGTCTGGCGCGATTCCATCAACAACTTTTACTGGAATAAGTCGAGCATCCCCGACGAGGCGGGACGCGTGGGCAACTACAAGTACCGCATCGAGGCCGAGCACATGACGCTTGACGGATACAAGGTCGTCGACGTCGACCCCTTTGAGGCGGCGTCGGGTTACAAGGCCATCGTGACGAGCTCCAACACGACGGCCGGAACGGCATCCGCCACGGTCGAGTTCGAGACCGGAACATACACCCTCGCTGTCAATTACTTTGACGTCATTAGAGGAAAGTGCTCGTACGTCGCGTACATCAATGATGTCGCCGTCGGCCAGTGGAGGGGTAACAGCGAGGAGAAGTTGGGCCACTGGCCGTCCGAGTTCTTGGATGGACACTCTGCCATCCGCGTCAACTTCCCTGGCATCAAGGTGACCAAGGGCGATACGCTGAAGATTGTCGGTACGCCTGACGGGCCCGAGGTCGCTCCTTTGGACTATGTCAGCTTCTTACCTGATGGTATTATCGACTAGACATGTTGTTGGATTTTTGAGCAAGCAGACATGATTTTGTAGTTAACATTCAAGATTTATGAATTCTTCATGATTATATATTTACATCTCAATCAAATTGTGTACATTTTGGCAAATCTTCTTGGTAACTGCAAACGCATTGTAATGCAAGTGGGTGATCGTGAATTTGTTCTGTGGTTGGTGTGAGTGATGTGAACCCCACAAATTTCATCCGACAAAGGTATCTTGGATTTTGACCTCATCCCCGAAATTTTCATCTAGCCGTCGTCTCTCAAGGGTCAAACCAGCAGCAAGCGCCCTTCACAAAGCCAAGTACATAGCAAGTATCAACGAAGTCCTCATAGCGACCTTGTATGCCGAGTCGGCTTCACGGAATTAAGACCCAACACTACTTTGTAAGAATTCATCCACTCACTCTTCATCTCACTGAGACTTACACACCCTCTCAGGCCTCACCCAACATGCTGCCCACACCAGATACCTCCCACGTTCCGTTTGAGCGTGTGTACGAGCCAGCAGAGGACTCGTACCTCCTCCTGGATACCCTCTCAGCCTCGTCGGAAACCTCATTCCTCACATCACGCTTCGGCGGCGAAACATCATCATCATCATCAAAGTCAAGACCAGCAGCCCCACTGGTAGTCGAAATCGGCACCGGCTCCGGCGTCGTGATAGCCTTCCTCGCCGCCCACGCAGCAACCCTCTTCGGCACACCCACCGTCCTCACCGCAGGCATCGACCTAAACGGCCACGCCTGCCACGCCACAACCTCCACCGTCCGCCGCGCCGTCGCCGACAACCCGTCCACGGCCTCCCCTCCCTCCCTCTGGCTCGGTGCCTCCCTGGGCGACCTCACGACCCCGCTGCGTCCGGCAAGCGTCGACGTCCTCGTCTTCAACCCGCCCTACGTCCCGTCCCCGGAGCTCCCCGCGCAGTCTTCAGCCACGCTCGTCGCGGACGCCGGCACCAAGACGACGTTTGACGAGGACTCGTATCTGCTTTCACTGTCGTACGCGGGCGGGCGGGACGGTATGGAGACGACGGATCGGTTGATTGAGGCGCTGCCTGGGGTCTTGAGCGCGAGGGGGTGCGCTTACATTCTGCTGTGTGCGCAGAACAAGCCGGACGAGGTCAAGGGCCGGATTGAAGAGTTCGGGGGCGGGTGGAGGGCTGTCACGGTTGGGGAGAGCGGGAAGAAGGCTGGGTGGGAGAAGTTGCAGATCATTAGGGTGTGGAGGGAGACAGAGATGGAGGAACAGTCTACATAGAAACGTAGGACATAGATACCTCTTGTATCTTGACATCTTGTTGACCTGTGTACTTCTTCATTTCAGTCGCATGCTCGTGCTGGCGAGCCTCATGGCACACTCAGTTGCGAGATCTGTAGTTTCATTTACTGGAATTGTATTCTTTTTATTTCCTAACCACCCCCAACGCCTGAATAGCATCCGGTTGGTCTTGATGTGTAGGGGTGCCCGTCTTTTTTCAAGCTCGAGGCCCGGACTGCAAAATAAAAAAAAAAGTTCATCGACGGTCCGTCGTCCCTAAGGGGGTTGAGCATAGATATTTCCCCCTATGAAGAGTTTCTTCATGATTCACGAGTACTATTTCCGTCTTTCTTTCCCTGAGGCAAGCAGGAAACTTTTCTCGGCGCTCATAACAGTTGTCGGTGTCGACCCAGTAACAACAGGTGTCGACGGTCGGCCCTCGTCGAAAAAACAGCGTGTCATCATTTTGTCCCATTAACCCCAGCTCAACCACGTCCGCGACCGCGTCCCCGACCACGGCCTCTTCCTCTGGGGCCGCCTCTTCCTCCGCGGACGGGGCCGCCGCGCTCCGCCTCCTTGCGCGCCTTGTTCTTGGGCTTCGGTTGGTCGTCGATGAGCAGTGTGTCGAGAGGCAGCGAGTCGGGCAGGATAAAGTATCGGATCGTCGAGCCGCGGATGTTCATGGTATCGAGCGAGACGGCGTCCTGGCCCCGCGGTGTCATCTTGACTGTGCGCAGCGCCGTATTCATCTGCGGCGAGACCGAGGTGATGGTGCCGTGAACGATGGTGCCTGTACGCGTCAGTATGCGGTCTGGCAAACGATATGCAGCGCTTTGCGCATTTTTCTAGAGCCGCAGGACAAAATGACAAGAGTCTACTAACCATTCTTGAGTTCGATTGTCACCGTCTCATTGGCGCATTTCATCAAAAATCTAGTTGGAAGTTCTGGTCAGCTTTGTTTTGGCCTTGTTTTACGGCGAGCGACCTTCTGCATCTCTGAGAAGGAGGGCTCAGCACACAAATTGACGGCAGAAGGAGGGAAAGGGTGATCAATTGCGCGTACCTGACGAGTTTCATTTTGGCGGCGGCGTTCGTGTGTTGAGCGTTCGTCAAATGCAAAGACGACTGGATGCGAGACCTCGCGACTGAGGTTGGCAGTTCTGGGTGACGGAAGGCTGAAGCTTCGGAAAAGCTGCTATCCCGTTTCTGGGAAGTGGGTCCACGCTCAAGGTGAGTCTTTAGTCTCAGTCCACGTGACTGGTAGCTTTACTTCTTAACTAGTCAACTTAATGGCGGAAAGTCAAAAACAAATTACACATTAAAGAGCAGCTATCTCTAAGTCCTCTAATCAATGGATCCAGGAAAATGTTCCCGTAACTAAGTCTTTTCGTAATCGTAACGCAGAGATGGCATCAGCCGAGGCTCAGCACAAACCTCTCCACCATCGGCCCCCATTTTGGAAGTTCCCACTCGTGTCTAGTTGCTTGAACACGAGCGCTTGCGATCTGGATGTGTAGGCTATCTATCTTTGTCGCTTCAACTTCAATCGATCCTTCCGCGACAATCCTAACTTGGAGATGTTCTTCGAGAAATGGTACGATCTCATCGGGTTCAAGCCCTGAGATAGTTCTCGCCCAGACCATGTGCATCAAGGCCGATGTCAGAGGAACTGTTCCGGACACATGGTTGCCTGAACCCATGTTCTTCATCGCAAATACGCTCATTGATCCGACGAGATTCGGTGCAGATGCCCAAGAAGGGGCTTCTTCGGGAACTTCACCTAGGAAGAAATGGATTGCAAACGAGCCATTCAATGCTCCATTCTGAACATGAATATTGGCGACCCATTCGGTGTACATGTCGTCCTCGGTCGCTACTTTGGTCTCAAGGTCAGGGTCTTGTGAAAAGTCTAGCACATGCTTTGAAGTAGTTCCCTTTCGAACTTGGGATAGCGGCCCCCCCTTTCTTTTGGACGCTACTCTCCGTTGCTTCCGGGCCAGACCTGAGGGGCTAGATGAGCCGTATAGTCTGTTGATAGTTGCTATGAGGCGAGCTTGTTCCTCAGACTTGTGGATTCCCAGACTCGGATTCGTTTCTGCGTACGCATATCCGAAGGCCGTAGTGTCTCTGGCCATCGCCGAGTTCCAAAAGGTGCCATTGGCGTCCGCATAGAATGGCTTTAGTTCCGTGAGCCAATTTTGAACGGTCCCTGACGACATGGTAAAGGAAGGCTCCATTGCGGCTTGAGAAGTGACCCAGGCGGTAGGATACAGAACTTGCCACATGGCGACTATTCGTTCCACCATGGCATGGTGCAAGAAGAACACCGGATCGAATGCTGAATACTGAATGTAATACAGATGGCCGCGGTCGCCCACCAACACGTGCATTGCATCGTGCAAGGCCTCCACTGAGTCGTACTGCGTCTGATTTGACGCCATCCCCCAGAATTTGTTACTAAAGGGTTCAAAGTCCTTGTAATTGGAAAGGAGAGTATAGAGTCGTTGCTGAAGTGCAGGTCTGGCATGCTCGATCGAGTGCGCTATGCTTTGGTTGTCCGTTGTCTCGAAGGGAGCTCTCATTGTCTCTGTCCAATGGGGAAACTTGATTCATTTAGGATTCTACTCTTTGATCAAGTGGGAGCCACTACTTACATCGCCTTGGGAAAACACCTGCGGGTCCAGCGGCCGGAACTTGTAGCTGTATAATGGGTTGGCAATGGTCTGCCATCCGTTAGGGCCATACACTTGAATTGCAGGCTGCTCGAATTCAGACAAGTAGACGCTTTCTCCGAGCGGCGGTGTAGTAGCCCAGTCCCAGTATGGGATTCGAAAGTCTATCGCAGCGGCTTGGTAGTAAGCTCGTTCCGTGGGGTCTGGGAACCACGAGGCAATCATCTGTATGAGTTGAAAGAGAATTTGCTACTACGATGTTAGTCGTTTTGTGGGTGGCGTCACAACTTCATTGGATCTGACCTCGTACAAAGCAAGATATGCGCGATGCCACGATGGGAAGAGAATGGACATGTGGGTGCAGTAGCCCCTTTCTTCGCCTCCCGGTACGCCGGGCACGCCGTTCCAGGGGACAAAAGGAACGCCGTGAATACCTGCTGTATATCAGAAAGCTAATCGACGCGATAGTGACCACTCAGTCTTACCTGCGATCTGATACCACGATAGCTGTTCGCTTTGATTCGTAAACTGAAACATGCTTGAAGCAAGGAGGAAGAGATTCCACTTGAAGGGGTTCTCCTTCAACTCTCTGATGTCGGGGCGGTTAGGAATAGTTCCGTTTATGGAAGGCAGCTTGGTGACAATGATTGGATCCTGTGTCTGGCGCTTGACCACTTTGGCCGCTTCGAAGCCATAGTCGTAGGCCGGTGGAGAGGGTATGGCCGCTGCGGCGGTAGCGAGGAACACAAGAGATAGAAGCATGGCGCAACGAAACGCCTTTCCTGCGTCCCCTTTGCTGCAGTCGGCTAGCTTAAAGCCAAGAGTATGAGAAGGTTGACAAGGACGATGAATATTAGTGTTCTCGTAGGATGGTGCTGAGACGTGGTAGATGTCAGAGGGTCGAAGTATGGGCTGTCCAGGTCGATCAAAACTTCGGCACAGCCAGATTGCCTTGAATAAGGGAACCAGGTGTGATGATGACAGCAAGATGAGCGTGTTCAAAATTCCGGGATTGTTTGGATGTTGATGAGTGCCAGACTCGACGTCCAAGTTGTGGTGGAGATAGCCTGGCCAAAAGGAATTTCGAAAAGGACGAACCGAAGGACATTTTCCGTGCCAATACAATGCAATTTGGACTGAAGCACACTTTAAGGTAGTCACGGAAGGCAAACAGGATGCGAGTGGCACGCCGCATAGCCGTGGTGGTATGGTGCTTGCGTCATTGAGTTCCTGGTTTCCAACCGCAATCTCTAGATTCGGGAACAGAGTCATTCAGGAAGGTGTCGGGACGAGGTACCTCTGCACGACGTAATCCGAATCTATTAAGGGAAAGAGAGGTGTGACAACCTAGATACTGGTGAGAGAAGAAGACTAAGGCGGAAGGCACAGATTTTCGCCCTTGGTATCTTCCTGCCACAAAACGTGCCGTGCCTTCTTGACCAACTACCATAATGTGACATGGCGTACCTTCTCCCAAAGCTCCAAGAAACACCACTATCGTACCTTGTGTAAATTGCTGTCCAATCAAGCACTGGTTGAAGGGTATCTCACATTGATAGCTGAGAAGCAGGGCGCGGTGACACGTCAAGCCAGGTGGAACTGTTCAGACAGAGCAGGAACTCTCAGAACTGATGTCTTTAGGTGGGCGAAGCCTGATCGGTATGAAGATTTCACTGACTCAATCTCAAACATCTTGGTTTCCCACGGCGGCTCATGGCATTTCTATATCAAGCCACCCTGAAGGTGAGCTACAACAGCTTCTGTCTTACCTCGGTTTTGGAAAGACCACGAGAAACCACAATCAACAACTTTGGATACCACGAGGCTTCTCAGGTACGTCATGAGTTTGGTCAGCCAAATTTGCGCCATCGTTGACGGAGACGCAGAGAAATCTCTCAGATCTTTGCCGCCAATCGACGGTCAGACTCTGCACAAGGCGGCTGCCGACATTGTGTGTACGATGTGCGTCCAAATGACTGTTTGTTGATTCGGTAACCTACATGAGACAAACGGTTCAGCATCTGATTGTAACCGCTCTACACATGTTGATGTTACGTAGTCCACGCTCACACCATCTATGTCGATTGTCAAACCCCTTCGGAGTTCGGCTTGGAGTCTTGAACGCGAAGCTGAGACTTGATTTAGGGGTTGAATCCAACGTGAAATATTGACAGGGAAACCCATCACTACTCGGCGAGATCCACTCTGACCAGCATTGTGAACTTTTGTCCATTAAGAAGTCATAATGTATGTACAAGGTGGAATACATCTTTTGTCTACCGAAACGCCGTCGATCGAAGCCTCTAAGGTAATGATTTCATGGGCTTCAAAGGGCCCTTGCGAGGCGCATCCTTGGAGTCGATGCGGTACTTCAGCTTGACACCCATAGCTGCCAACTCCACGTCTAGGAACTTGAGCGCACCCGGAACAACGACAACCGTCGTGTTCTCGCCTCCGACCCACTGGTTGCCCTGGCCATCCTCCCAGATCTCTCCCTCTACCTTGGCGGCGCTCTCCGCGTCGCCGGCGTCGAGGCGGGTTGCGCAGTTTCTGCAACGCACTGTCGTGACTTGCTTCTTCTTACCCACAAAAGGTGACACGGTTGGTTGAACTGAGAGGAACGAACCACAGCTTCGGCAGATCCAGGATCGCGTGTAATCGGAACAGTTGAGCAGACGATCCTGCAGCAGGAAGGCCGTACCGTGAGCGAGCAGCGCGTCACGCTCCATCTCTCCCACACGAATACCACCACCACGCTTTCTACCCTTGATGGGCTGGCCGGTTGTCGGTACGACTGGTCCCGTCGTTCGCACTTGGTACTTGTCGTTGACCATGTGACGCAGACGCTGGTAGTAGACGACACCAACGTAAATGTCGGCGGCCAGTTCCTCTCCCGTGATACCAGAGTACATGGGCTCGTTGCCATGGTAATTGTACCCGGCCTTCATCAGCTGATGACCAAAGTAGTCACCGGCGGTGTTCTCCTCGTTGAACTTGAAGGGCGTGCAGTCTTGTGCCAATCCGTGGAGCGCGCCAGCCTTTCCAGCCAGTGACTCGACGAACATACCGATTGTCATACGAGAAGGGAAAGCGTGAGGGTTGATGATAATATCGGGTTGGATACCAGATTCTGAGAAAGGCATATCGACAGCAGGCCATTTCTGGGAAGCGACACCCTTCTGTCCGTGGCGAGAAGAGAACTTGTCACCGATGACCGGGGATCGGGGAACTCTGAGCTTGATGGAGATCGTCTGGGCAGGCTCATTACCCGACTCGCTACCGAGCACACGTACTTCCTCGACAAATGCAGTCTCAGACTCCTTGTACTTTTCATAGTGTGTCTGTCCGTCCAGGTTGATCAGCTTGCCGCTGTAGTCTGCTGACACCGTGTGCCATGCGCAGAGTACATCTCCTTCTTGGACCATGCGTCCAACGTAGGGTAATCCGTCCTCATCAAGCAAGCCACGATAGAATCCCTTGACAAAACCGCCGGGGGCGAAACCGAAGAGCTTGGTGATATTCTTGGTGGCTCGCGTTCTCTGTTCTTCCTTCAGCGTGACCTTCTTCGTCTTATAGATGGTACCGTGTCCGAATCCTCTTTCGTGTGCCGACTTGTTCAAAATCATGGCGTCGTCCATGTCGTAGCCAGTGTATGAGATAACCGCTACAACGGCGTTGAAGCCGTTGGGGAAGTTGTCGAATCCATAAGCGTTGTGTAGAGGCGATCGTACCACCGGTGTCTGGCCACTCTGAATTCTGTACATCTTGTTGTCCGTGCGGTGCCGAAGAGCCGTTGCCGGTGTTCCCATGGTTTGCTTACCCATCTGACATTGGTACATGTTTCTGGGGGACTGGTTGAAGTCTGAGAAGGGCGTCATGTTGGCAAGAATGGAGAGCATGTTGGTAGGAGTTTCTTCCACGTGCGTCGACTCGCCTGACACGATTTCGTTCTCAACAACGGCGATAGACATGTAGGGTTGCTCGTAAGGCCCCACAAAGTCCACCTTATCAAGAGGAAGATACTTCACGGGTCTGACCATACGCGCAGGCGCAGAAGACAAGTAGATACCAGGGTATGAACCGCCGTTTGAAGGCGGGACGTATCCAATTTCCAGTTGGAGAGGAACGCCGTGAGTGCCCTCCACCTTCCAGAAACGGAGAGTGTCTGCAATTCTGAGAGATTCGCGAGGTGTGCAGAAGCCGATGAGCTTGCCATCAAGCATGATGACAACGCTTTCATCTGTAGCCGCAGAAGACGTCTCCACAGCTCCCAACTCCGCCACAAGGCCAGGGATCTTGGAGGCGTCGACGGACTCGGTCATGATCTTACACTTGTGAGCCAGATGGTTAAGCAAACCGCAAGGCGAACCATCAGGAGTGTGTACGGGGCACAGAAAACCCCAAGACTCGGGCAACAGCTTTCGGACCGTTGTCGTCTTCAACTCGGCGAAGAAGGCACCTCTGTGAATCATTCGGAAGTGACTGATGAAACGGAGAAAGTTGAGCTTTTCCGCAACAACTGTGAAACCGGCTGTCTGTTGCAAATCAAGACCAGAAGGACTGGTCAGATTACCTGTGGAAAGGAAATATTCCAGGCCGTTTCCAAGGTTCTCATTGGCGTGTCTGAAGATATTGGCAGGGAACTCCTTGGCGAAGTCCTGCGATGTGAAGGGGGTGGCCGGGTGCTTTCTGGTCCATTCGCGGAGAGACAATCTGACAGCAGTCGACAGGAACTCTTCAAGGCGCTCCTTGATGATCATGCCGTACAGGAAACCGCCAAGAAGGACCTCCTGGTTTTGGACAGCATCAGGGTTGTCGACGGCGCAGTCGCCTGCCACGAGAGCATACAGCTTTCTGATCATGAACAACAGCATCTTGAACTTATCGTTGTCCTGCTTCTCGGTGACGTTGATGTTACCAAGGTGAACAAGAACAACCTTGCGCAGGAACTCGGTGCCGACATCGTAGTTGGACATGGTGTCGGGTACACCCATCACCACGCGAAACTTCTCTCCCAGGTAGGCTCTCGTCTCGGTCTTGCTGTAGAGTCCGTATGACTTGTAGGTTCGGAGCAGCAGCTCGACACGGTCCGTCAAGAAACTGTTCTTGGCCGACTTCGTGTTGGAGAGACCAATCAGTCCTTCGAAGATGTCGCGATCGTTTGTGTCGACGAGAGCCTTAAGAACCATCATGACCGGTACAAGGTACTCATTCTTCTTCCAGGAGAAGCGGAACGTCATGTTTCCGTCACTCAGGTAGTGCAAAACGTTGGTCTGAGATGTCTCATCTGGTCTGACGGATCGGACGATGATACCATACGGGGTGTAGCCTTGGCCTCGGTTTTGGAAACTGGGTCGGTTGATCGCCATGGGGAAATTCCTTCGGTTGACTTGCAGCAGTCGAATAATCTTCTCGATACCGTTTACGATGAAGTAACCGCCCAGTTCTTCGGATTCCTCCTTTCTTTGCACCAACTGAGCCGGAGAGTTGCCCTCCAAGTGACATCTGTTGGACTGCCAATCCCCCATTAGCACCCCGCCGTCAGGTTTGCAATTGGTGTACAAAAGCACTTACCTTGACCATAATTGGCACCTGTCCAAGCTCGCGCACAAATTCTTTCGGATCACCACCATTGACCCTGTACTCGAAGGTGGCGGATAGCCTGCCTCGGTACGTCGAATGACGCTCTCTGCATTCGGAGGGCAGGATTTCACGATTCCTGGCGAACTTGTTGGAGGGGGGTAGCTGGGACTTTTGCAGCGCTACACTCTTGATTCGTACGGACAGGCGGTTCTTGCCTTCGAGGCCCGCCCTGTCGTCGCCATCAAGATACGTCTTTGTGCCAATATCCTCTATGCCTCGAGCGAGGAGGCTCTTGTCGTCACTTGTGAACAAGGCATTGAAGGAGTCGATGTGAGGGCTCACAGCCTCTTGCAGGGCAGGATAGGCCGTGTGATCCTTCGGGGGGTTGCGAAAAAGGTTCTCGCGACGAACGGTATTGTATTGGTGATCCCACTCGGTGCTTGTCGCTGATGGCGCCATGTTCGCTCTCTCGTTCGCTTGCCTGCGACTGCGATTGTTAGCTTAAGTCTTGACTTCTTCCTTAGTGAATAATGGCTGGCTCACAGGGGACTATGTCATGTGGATGTAGCAATATCAAGGACTGGTCTCCCTGGGCAAGACAAACGCGACAGAGACAAGGAGGGCGAAAATGTAAACTTCTTCCTACTGCACCGGGTTTCTGGATCGCAGAGGGTTGGGATGCGACAGTCGGGTCTTCGGTGAAAACAAAAAAATAATTATGGAGATTGGAGCGGAAAAAATTGCATCGTCCAATCATGGCGCGGCATCGTCGAAAGTGCAGGCCGTTATCCAAGACAGTGCGAGGACGTTGCTTTATCTGAGGTGCGGGGCCCTGATCTTGAAATGCTCGTCCGGAATGGAGGGCCCGCGTAGACGGAACCCCACTGTCGCGGGATTGTGCACCCGGGACTGAGATGCTCTCGGCGTTCCGATTATGAAAGGCGCCCGATATCCACGGAGACCGACCCACTCTTGTCCGTACGCCAGCCTCCATCTCAGACACGGCCTTGCTCTACTTTCTTATCTTGTGGATGCCGAAGTTGATTAGTCGTAGAGAAGGGATATTGCGTGTCCTGCAGCTTTCTTGACTGTGACACCAATGGTTCGTAACCTCTAATCTGTCACGAACTTTCAGTCACATTTGACTGGACCCGGTTGGTCACTCAACGTGATGTGAACCCGACAGCTGGGAATGGCAGGCGGAAGTGGACGCGTCAATGGTTGGTGGCTGTCATCGCCCGGGTTCGCTGACGGAACTCTGCTCTATTCGTCTGATGATCGAGATGGTACATTGGGTTGGCGGCAGCGCCATGCCGCAATGAACTTGAGTGGTCATACTAAGTCGAATCAGCACAGCAAATTCTGACATAGGATTGTAGAACCCATCCATCCAGGGAAACCTTTCAGCAAGACGGAAATTTCCAGCCCGAAGTGGGATCCGTCAGGCAAGGTAAGCAACCTTCACTGGGCAGCCTAAGGTGTAACAGTTCTCCGCACTAATTGGAAGGTAGGGTAGCAGAGAGGTGAAGTGAGGTAGGTGAGGTGAGGTAAGGTCAAGTCAGGCCAGGCCTTTAGGCGTAAAGTGGTCATGCCGCACCACCAAAATCGTTGGTTCTCACCAATACTCGCGGTGGATGGGTACCCTCCCCGCCGAATCTAGATTTCGGGAGTCTCCTAAGAATGCAACTAGCAAAGGAAGACTCCTAATTAGTAGGAATTACAGCGAGCAGCTGGCGACTTGCAGCCCAATCTACACTAACTGGGGCCCGATTCACCGAGGCTAGGAGCTAAGGCATCTCCATGGACATTCTACGTGAGATAACCCCCACCGAGGTCCTCGCGATACATACTTCTCGCTCTCACTCTGTGTAAGGTAGTCCACGGTCTCCGCGACTCCGCATCCGTCATGAGATGATGACAGGGTGATGCCCGGAGGATGCATAACATATGCTGCCGCCCTTGCCTCTTGGCCTCTGCCTGTCTCACCTGCCAAGCCCCTGTCCTCTCCAGCTTTTGGTCAAGGTTCCGTACTTACGCAGTAATATCTCTCCATCTACCTCACACCTCACTAAGCACACCAAGGTAACTGAGGGCAATGAACAGTACCAACACCTACTGCTTGTGTAATGACACCACCTTAGCTCGGAAGAGAATATCGCAGACATCAATTACGATTTTCTTCTGTCCTGTAGTAGGGAGTTCTCTCGAGCCTTGGTCGTCAGATCACCCAGCCAGCTCAGCGCATTTGTTCTGCCAGACTATTCACAAACGAATGGGCAAGTTCCCTTCTTCTCCCCCGCCTACATCCTCTATTCTCATAGTCCCTTCCACGCCCACTGACAACGGGATCTAGAGAAGCGTAGAAAGCAAGACAAGGTAGAGAAAACGGAGATTATTTCACCTTACCTAAGGTAAGGTAGGTAAGTACCATTCCATTCCTTAGCTTAATAAGTGCCGCACCTTCCATTGGGCGTAAGACTGAAGCGACTTACTGCCTTCCTTGCCTCAACCTTTTCTCCCGTACCGGGCATACTAACCCCCAGCCGTGGAAGGTACATCTTACGGAAAAGGCTCCTGCCTTCCATGAATATAATTGGGTTGTCTGCGGCTTTTGTCGCCCGCGTGCTTGCCTGCCTGGAGAAAGAGCCCAGCCTGCCTTACGGTCCATTCCTTTCATTACCTTACCTTACTTCACCTAGTTTACGGCCATTCCCTGACCATGCGCCGTTGTTGCTAAATACTCCCGATCTGCATCCTGCTTTCCTAGCAAACTCGAGGCTTCCATCTCATTGCTTTCTGTTCATCCAGCCCGGTCCGCCTTTCACTCAGCTCGCGCCATCGAAATACCCATTTGGCTACCTCTCAAGGTCGAGCCTGCATAAATTCTTCGTCCCGCTTGCAGAACCCTACCCAACCTCCGTTGCTGGTGATCCTTCCAAAAGGAAAAAAAAAAGGTAGCCACCAACAAACGCCTTTGTCGGCGAGCCGCCCGTTTCTCGCCTCGCCTCTCATCACAGTCACAACGTCATTAGACGCCCAACGTCGACGACCATTCTCCCCTCTCCTTGCACCGTCCTGCCTCGGCCCGCACGCAGTCAGCCCTCGCAGGTTGCTTGACGGGGATTGCCAGACAGATCTGGAGTTGTGCCGCCCGCAACAATCTGGGTTCTCACGCGCCCTTCATCCTTCCTCTCACCTTCCCCTTGTCGACATATCTTTCTTCATTGGGGAATCTATCTACCATCTACTCATCTACCCGCAACCCATCCACCCGCAAACGCGACCACCTGAGCAATCTTACCTTGCACACCTTACCTTACCCTGAGGCCGACTAAACAACATCCGAGGTGGACAGCCAGCCTTCGCGCCCACCGCATCAATTCGGGGCCTCCTTTATTAGCCTTGGAAGTCTGCATGTCTTGGCCTTACTTTGGACACCACGGTTCGAATCGCTGCAACCCTTCAACCTAAGCCGGCTAAGACCGACTTGGCCCACCCATATCGGGTTCTGGTGACTTCCAGGACGTCTGGGCTATCGCGCCTCGTCGCCGTCTACCTCTGCCTACCTTAGCCGTTCGCCCACCGGATTACAAGCACCATTAATTTCAACCATACGTCACATCCCCTTCATTTGACATTGGCATCCGGGAGCAGATCCACGAGCTTTCACACCAGGTCACGGAAGCGTACTTTAGTCAAGTCATCCACTTCTGCGAAAGAGATTCATCATAGTCGGATCGAGCGCCGTGGTATTGAACAACCGCCTCGTAGGCTGGTCCTTGTCGAAAATCACCCTTCGCCGCCGCCGCCACGTTCGCATCTCATCCCTGCTACCGCTGCCGTTGCTGTCGTCAGTGGATTGACTTCCATGCCGCTGCCGCACATAACGTACTGCAAAGGCACTCACCCGAAATCAGGTGCACCGGCACCCGGTTGACCTACAATTTCGTCCCTGATCGCAGCCCTCTCTCGCGCCTATCGTGGAGAGATCCACATGATCCGGTAGAAGCAAACGAATGAAACCCTAGTCGTTGATCTTGTAACCGCTGCAGACCCTGTCAACGCGGTTATTCCCAGTCGTCTTTTCATCCCCAACCGCCAATTCTTGCGACTCCAAATTCGGCACTGTTCATCCTACAGCTTGTGCCCCTCCCCTCCCGACCCCAGTCCCCCGACCCCAAGCTTGAGCCGGATCCAGGGTACTCAGTCACTTCCACGACCCATCAACCCTCGCCATCCCGTCTTTCTCTGGTGGGGACCTACTATACCTTACCTTACCTCACAGGCTACTCGAGGTATCTCTTCCGGCCCCAAAGGGACAGACCAGGCCAGGCCAAGCGTCACCTGCGCTCTTCTTTTCTGGTTCCCGCCCGCCGCCTGCACTGTCTGCACCTGCATCTGCGCCGCAACTTGCTCTCAGTTCCAGTGTCGTCGCCCGCCAACGAGAAACCAGCGACACCCATCGAGCCTCTCTCTCTGTCTCTCCCGCCCCCATCATCGCACAGAGCAGAGCAGCAACCTGTGCCGCCATCTCCCACGTCGATGCCAGCGACATTTGACTTGCGACATTTGGTCGGTTACCACGGGTCATACGAGACATTTTTATTTCCAATTTCTAGAGGCGTCTGAGCGCATCGAATACTTAAGCATCCAAATCACAACTCCGCACCCATCCTTCATCCCTCTCCGTCTCTCACCGTATCGACGTCTCTTCCGAACGAAATAGTAATCGCCGCGCCACCGACCTTTCTCCGTTGCGCAACATCTATTGCCGTTGCGCTGTATCCGGATCCAAGATCAACACACGTTGGCGACACCTCTTTTGGCCACCTACGCATCCTATACTACCTCCTCCACACCAGCGCATCGCGCTCATTATACACCACCACCATGGCGGGGCTTTTCCGGAAAGTGTACGACTGGCTGTTGAGGACGTTCTGGTGAGTGCACTTTGCTTCCCGCGATGAACAGCGGGGGTGATTTTCAGCGATGGACGGCCCGCGCGCTCTGACCTTACCCCGCCGCGCCCACTTTGCCCTTACCCTCGATCCTCGGGGATGGTATCTTGAACTTGAGCTGACTTGCGACGACAGGGCGACAGAGATGGATGTGACGATGATCGGTCTCCAAAATGCGGGTAAGACGTCTCTGCTCCGCGTCCTCGCAGTAAGTGAATCTTTTCCTACATTGTCAAGTTTTCCTTCGCACCAAAGCCGTTCGCACGCTGACATTCACACTTGTAGGGCGGCGAGTTCACCATCGAGTAAGCGACCTCCGTTTCTTCTTCACCCCTCAGAACTGCCTACTGTACCATCTCTGGTGTAATCGGTCTCGGCTAGCGGCATCTTCGGCTAACTGATATCTTGTGTAGCTCGATCCCGACGGTCGGATTCAACATGAAGCGGGTGCAACGAGGACACGTTACACTGAAATGTTGGGATATTGGTGGCCAGCCCCGATTTCGAACGATGTGGGAAAGATACTGCCGTGGCGTCAACGCTATCGTCTTCATCGTCGATATCGCTGATATGGACTTGCTACAGCAAGCTCGGGAGGAGCTTCATGCTCTCATGGACCAAGCTTCTCTGAGGGAAATCCCACTCCTTGTTTTGGGAAACAAATCGGACCTCCCGCAGAAGTTATCGGTGGACGAGCTGATCGATGCGCTTGACCTCAAGTCCATAGGCCACCGCGAGGTTTGCTGCTACGGCATCAGTGCCAAGGAGGAGACCAACTTGGACGCTGTGCTACAGTGGCTGATGAAGTGGGCGAACAGGTGATGCGTAATACTGACGCGCGTTGGATGCCTCGATCCGCCGCGTTCCCAGTTGTCCCGCCCTGCCGTTCCTTCTCGATCGTATTCCCTCTGGGCTTGCGGGCTAGTGGATTCGAAAGGGCAATACTATTACTGAAGACGAGGGGGTTTTATGCGGCATGGTGTTCGTTGTCGAGACGTCGTTGTGTCGAAATTGTCCGCCAAATCACGGATCTTCTGACGTTGTTAGTTGGTCTGCGACAGCATTAGCAGCAGTAAGCGTGCCAAGTCCCCCATGGCGTTTTCACCATGTCCCATATATCGGAGCGGGAGGGAAGGGGACTGTTTTCAAGCGATAATTTGGACGGCATGTCTGGAAGCAGGGCGCTTGCCTTTGATTTTGAAGTTAGCACGCCGGAATTTCCAGTCATTTAAAGGTCATCCAACCTAGAAATGCTGGTACGCGGCACCGCTCAAGCGAGAAATAGCAACGTAGAAAGGAGCAGAGCGGGGTATAAGTGGGTGGCCATGACGATGCTACGAAAGTAGACGAATGAATATCATGACTGATGTACGATCGCTTGATCTCCTTTCCATGTTTGATTTGTATGAGGTTTTCGCTGCCACACCAAAGCTCTGCGTATATGAAGAGGGTGAGGCGCTTCACCATAAAATCGACATGAGCTGGTCTGACACACAGCACCGCCGTGTGGTGGTGTTGAGAGAGAGTGAAGTACAAGAATTGAGAGCTAGGAGAGGGGTAGACGACAGAAGAGAGAGAAACCAAAGTAGAGAAGGTGGGATGTCTCGAGAAGAAAAGTAAAGAGAGGAAAGAGAGGGGTCAAAAGAGAAAGGAAAAAGATATCAAGTTTTTTTTGTCAGTCTCTATTTTCTCTCTCTTTCTCGTTCAGCAGTGGCAGTCTTGCTCTCTCTTATTGTCATTCCCTTTTGCGCAGCACACAGACCAGAGACTGCCAGCGCATCGCGCATCAATGCATCGGTTTCCATCTGCTGCTGGCGCGACGTGATTGGTCCGCCAACCGACGCTTCCGCACCCCTTTGCTGCAGGGCCCATGGGGTGAAGGACGGAGGGGAGGAGGGGTGATTTTGATGCCCGTTACGCTGAGGTGCTCTCTTGTCTCTTGCGTTGTGTCTTCAATGTCTCGGAGGTTCGGGAGAGAGAGTGAGGAATGTGAAGTTGAAGACGTAAGGAAACCCGAGTAAGGTAGATTAGGCAAGTTGATTAAAGGAGAAGACGGGTTGAAAAATAAACGAGAGCTGAAACTAAAATGTGCCCTCTATTGGAAATAACGACGTATTTGGGGGAGAGGGCAAGAAAATCCCCCTCCCGCAGGACCCATTCAATGAGCGATGCCACGATGTGTTAGCCAGGGATGGCCTGGTGATGCTTGGGACGCTAGAGGTGGCAGAAGTGCCAAGCGGACAGGACAGCTTGCTTGCCATCGTCAACCCCACACTCACTGACTGGACACCGGTTCACTCGCTCACTCTTGGTCACCTTGGTTATTTGCTTTGGATATCTGGGAAGGCAAGAATAATCTCCTGCCTTTTGATTTGACTCATTTCACCTCACTCATCTTCTTAAATTCACAGTGAGCGAGTGAGTTAGTGTATGGCATTCGGTGAGCCCATGGCTATTGTCACGTAAGGTGAATATGGAATGTGGAACTCATGTACCCGCTGAAATACTCATTGCTCGCTCGCTCATTCGATGTAATCCAGATCACCGCAACACATCTTTATCAAGGAGCTGGAATGCCTCTCACACCACCCACAAGGCAACGCGGCACGAGCATGAGTGTTGAGAAATGTATTGTACAGGGCGTTGAATTCTTCTAGTGCTCGAAAGGGCTTGCCAGGTGCCCTCCCTTTTGGATTCGCCGTCCCTCCCTCCAGGAAAAGACGACGATGCGATTCCTCCATGTAAGCAGTAACTCCATGCTAATGTGCCCAATTAAAACAGAATAGAAAATGACAAACATGACCAAAGAAGCAAGAGACGGGAGTTCAGGACGGTCATGGGTAGTCGGTAAACCCAGCTGAAGGCCCATCCCTATTTACCATATAACCAAACTTTTCCGGCTCATCCAGCAGAATACTCGGCATATCTGTATTATTTTCGAGGCGCACAAATTGGTCAACGTCTCGGTCCCAAAGGTCTTTTCCGTTCCTAATGGCGTCCGCTATACGGTCCTTGTTTCGAAACCTCTCGCCATTCATCCACTCGTGGGAGAAGGACGACATCTTGGTGAGGAACTCATCGACGGTGGCGAAGCAGCTAGAGCAGTGCCAGCAGGCGTTCCCGAGATTCGCCTTCTCGAGGTCGTAAAGCGGCTTGAAGCCCCCGTCTCCCATTCGGAGGTTCGCCGGCAGGAGCGTGCGTGAGCCCTGGTAGTAAGTGGCTTGCGGGTGTTCCCACTCAGGTCCCGTGTGGAGGAACTGGAAACTGTAATAGTAAAACCGGCTACGCAAGGTGAGGCGACGGGGGAATTGGCACGTTCGCAGTAGCAATAGTGTCTCCGGTCGAGCAATCTCGTCAACGTCGGCGACGAGGATAACGTCCCCGTATACCGGAGCCTGCTTTCCGACGAGCCTAGGCAACACTTGGGTGTACATGGCGTTGCGCTGTAAGTCTTCGTAGTCCCACGACCTTCTCGGATTGAAATCTGACGGGAATTCGAGCTCGTGGTAGATGAGCTTGTCATGGTAAGGCTTGAACCGGTCCCAGTTCTCCTTGATCGTGAGCGGCTTGGGCCTGCCAGTAAAAGTCTTTGGAGACTCAACGATGACAAAGTAGTCAACGTAGTTGTAGGTAGAGTTCAAGCGTATTTCCATCCAGTCGAGCTCTGTGTTGACCATGAACAGGTCGTATACCTTTCGCTGGCCAGTCTCTGACTGGGGAGTGAAGACGGGGTAACCGTGGTGCTTGCAAAACTTGGCAGCAGCATCGGAGGAGTAGAAGCCATGATGGTCGCTCTTGTTACCGAAATTGAGACCGCCCTTGGGAAGCTTAAGGGACAGGTCGAGGTTCGATATGCGATGGTCGAATCTGTCAAGTGCAGGATGTTGGCTAAAGTACAAAATGAGGCAGATCGTTATCGCCAACAAGAGTTTCAGGATGACAGGAAAGCCAATGTGCCATTGAAGAACCATGGTGTCGATGGGTTAGGTGTTGACTGACAGATGGCGACCTGAGTAGGAAGGGCAGATGTTCTGGTCTTGAATCGTGGCGGCGAGGCCGTTTCGTTTCACCTCTCAAAACAAAGTCTGGTGACCGGGTTTGAGATAAGGCGAATGCAGCCTCCACCCTAGGCCGGTGTTACTGGTAGAAGCGTGAAAGGAAATCCTAGCCAGAAGGCAGTGTGAGGAACACAGGCTTTGCAGAGCTGCTCAGATGAGAGCATCCGGGCCACGGATCGTTTGATGGCGGGAACAGCCTTGTCGCATATTTTCAGAACTGGGGAAGTGTGAAAACCCCAGGATACCAGGGGAAGAAACCAGTAGGTATATAAAGTGTATGAGTATTTCGAGGCTCGGACAGGCTCGAGCACCGGTGTCACCAGTGAAATATGAAGTAGCTTGAGATGCCAGAGGAAGGAGCGTGGGGGGGCGAGCTGAAGCAAAGTCAAGCAAGCACACGCGCTTTAATGAAATAAACGTTTTACACTAAGGTAGGCAGAAGTTCTGATCAAAGTGGCACACTCCAGCTGGGCGATTTACCGGGGAAAGCCTCAGCTATGGGCAAGTTTAGGTTACCACAAAGGTAGCACTAAATAGCGCGATGGCGGGCGCTTCATAGTTCACACGAACCAAGGGAGCCCCTGAAATTGCGTTGAAGAGCAGATCGGTCGAGTTCCATTGTCGAAATTGACAGGCACATGGCGGCACCCTGTCTCCCTCTCAGCTCGAGGTGGATATGCGTCTCCCATGTCTTGCACTTGCAGACATATGTCCACCCGGGCTACAATTGTGCGTGTGTGGCCTGTTGTCCAGGAGTGTTTGGAGGAATGGTAAGCTTGGCCGGCACATTGAGATACCGTCCGTTCGGCCTTCCATCTTTGACGTTGATGAGTCCAGGATCAAGTGTGGGACCAATGCCGCTTGCGTTTTCTGTTCATGTAGAAACGCCGAGAAGATAACTCTATTTTATGGTAGTAGATCAGACGAGCCAGCCTGAGAGGGGGAAACTATACAATCTAAGAAAACATATACTGATGTTCCCAGCTCAAGAATCATTCTCTAAATGGCCACCAGCACTCGACTCGCCCTTGATGGGAAGTGAGCTGCAAGATGAGCGCGAGAAGGCACGAACATCCGTGGTTCCGTCGTGCGTAGGTAGTGTGAATGTAGAAGATGAGAAGCAGGGGACGTCCTGCGTGATTGGTGCCGCCAACAGGGGTGTAGCAAGAAGAAGCTTTTACCAGGCCGAGTGGGGTCTAGTCACTCCTGACCAGTGGCCCTACGCAGTCGTATGTCTCTCGAACAGGTGAAAGCGCGACAAAGATAAAAGCTGGGCATTGCTGCGCCAAGGTCAACGACGGTTGCTGTCAGCATTGTCGCGCTCCTTTTCCGACGATCAACATGGTATGGCACCGAATGTGCTGAGTAACGCCCCTACGCAAGCTGTGAGGCGCAATCCATCGTCGGCGGAACTCCACCGTCAACAACACCAGAAAAGGACTTTGATGATGGCTGCCTGTTGCGGGTATACACGATGCCGTATGCTATGGCCTAAGAGGGGATTCGGGGGTTCACGATCCCTCATATTAACCCCCCGCCTACTCCTGAAAGACAACACAAGCCAAGGTGAAGCTTTCGTCTCAATACCTGGTCAAGAAAGGCCTTCAGAGCTTGGTGTGTCTGAGCAGCCACTGTCCCACCGCCCAGGTTTCAAGTTCCAGCAATGCCATCACGGGCCAAGCCCAACGGGCCCCAGCTTCGAAGCTTGCTCGATTCAAGCACCTATCGGTCTGAAACAAAAACATTCTTCACCTCTGGAGGAGGCTTAGAGCTGAGATGTCAAGACGCCAAGCTGGTGTTCCTGCGACATTTGAAATTATACCGAGTAACGTCCCTTAAGGTATATTGTAGCCTTCTCCAATTTTTCTGTGAGACGCATTAGCCAAACCATCGCATGTTATCTCATCACTCCAGAGCCCCCTGCGGAGATCAAGATAAGATAAGCAACATCAAAAAAGCGCTCAATGTCAAACGCCCCGGCAAGTCGATGCCGAGCCAATAGGTACATACGAGCAAAGCTACGTACGATTTACATAGTTACGTAGTCAGCACGGATAGTAAGTACTTAATTACTGACATGAATATGTGCGGAAACAGAAGCAACTTGATATACCATCTCTGAAGTAATTGAATGGTAAATTTCAGTAGCACGGATTTACACTCAGCTTTGTGGTCCATTGTTACTGTTGTTGGGCAACTGCCAAGCGTCAAAGACCATCCGTACCTCGGAACTTTCTTGTGGTGCTCCACTCATGACAACGTCGCTGGTTGTTCCACAGCGACCCCGACTCCGACCCCGGACTTGCCAGTTAACGCACCGATACTGCGTATCTGTATGGAGAGCTTGTATACAACCGGCCCACGAAAGCATCTCGTCCCGGCCAGACCCCAGAAAAGATGAATTTGGCCAGGAGAACGAGTAAGTCTAATCCTGCTCAGAAAACAGCTTCAAGGTACCAGACACCTCGCTGTTCAATGCCAAAGCACTAGAAATCACTCAAATAAGAGCATCCCACCTTCTGAAAGCTCTTGAAGCCAGGCCGGAACACTAACCAATCGATCACCCACAGTTCCATTCGCCTTGCGCGCGGCATTGAGGCGATCTCATAACCAGCCAACCCCGCAGCTGTCAACGGCCTTCAACGCCCTCACCCGCCACACGCTTCCAGGCTTTGCCGCATCCATCCACACATCATCTCCCCGATCAATTTCAGGAGCCATGTCCCCATCTGCTGTCAGTAACACGAGCAATGGCACTGCTGGTGCCCCTAAGCAGAATGCTTGGGCTGGTCATCTCGGGGCCGCTGGCTTCGACCTAAGAAGTAAGTAAGGACGTCGGCTTAATCAAAGATTGGTAAAGTAACCGTAATTACAAGGCGATACTATGACCACTCCGACGGCTTCGATGCTTGCTGCCATTCAAAATTGCAGTTTGCTAGACGATGTTTTCGTGGAAGACCCCACAACGATGGAACTCGAATCTCACGTCGCAGCTCTTGCTGGCAAGGAGGCCGCTCTCTTGGTTCTCTCCGGGACCATGGGGAACCAAGTAGCGCTCCGAGCCCTCCTCACGCAACCTCCATACAGCGTCTTGAGTGACCATCGCTCACATATTATCAAGTATGAGGCTGGCGGGTTCGTGCATCCCCCTTTAGCTCCCGTACCGTGCGACATCTACTGATTGGTATTCGTCAGCGTTGCTTCGCTTTGTGGCGCCATGATACAGCCCGTGGTACCACGTAATGGAGCCTACCTGACACTAGAGGACATTGAGGCCCATGCTGCTCTCGATGACGATGTCCATACCTGTCCTACCAGGGTCATAAGCTTGGAAAACACCCTCGGCGGCGTGGTGACCCCCTTGGCCGAGGTCAAGAGGATCGCAGAGTTTGCACGGAAGAACAACCTTAAGCTTCATTGCGATGGGGCCAGAATGTGGGAGGCTGTTGCCTCTGGAGCCGGTAGTCTCTCCGAATACTGCTCACTATTCGACACGGTCAGCTTGTGCTTCTCAAAGGGTCTTGGTGCTCCGATTGGAAGCATCGTTGTGGGCGACGCAGCGCAAATCAAGCACGCCCGCTGGGTGCGCAAGTCTATCGGCGGTGGTCTCCGGCAGTCTGGAGTGGTAGCAGCTCCTGCTAGGATTGCCGTTGACGAGACGTTCGGAAAGGGGCCCAATGGCGAGGGTGGTCTTTTGAAGTCGTCTCATGAGACCGCAAAGAGAATCGGGGAACTCTGGACTAGTCTCGGTGGCAAGCTTACCCTTCCGGTCGACACCAACATGTGCTGGCTTGATTTAGATGCTGCTGGGTGCAGCACCCAGGATTTCATCGCGTTTGGGGCGGAATTGGGACTGAAGCTCATTGGCAACAGATTGGTTATCCATTATCAAATTGCCCAGAACCAAGACAGGGTTCTGCCTAAGCTAGAGCAAGTCTTTCGGCGAGCTCTGGAGGGCGGTAGTCAGACAACAGGAGGGGAGAAGGGCCCAACGAACATGTACCAGCCGCGTTAAGATTGAACGTGGTTTCTTGGGTTTTCTTGGACTTGATATTCCTCATACGATGCCAACTTCAATCAACGATGTTACGTCTCTATGCTCTAATCATCTGAGGCTGTCACAGCTTCGGCCTTCGTGTCAGTTGACTATGACCCGAATTGCGTGAAGAAAGTAAGCCTTGCTGGCTGACCTTTCAGGGTTCTACTTAGGGCAGCTGATGTAAGACGAGCGACCCTTGCCTCATCCCTGTCGTCTCAACAAGTCAATCATTGTGAAAGACAGGGCAACCGTCCAAAATATTATGTATGGCGAGCAAAACCAGACATCAAGCTTGAGGTCTGCAACCAAACTTTGGTGTGCAAAATATCGAAAACGAATTCTATCATTCAGGGTGGCCCATGATCAAGCCACTTGGCATATGTCATTCTCATGAATAAATATTTCCTACGCGCCGTCGGCCTTGACACGAGAACTCCGTTGCCGATTGCAGGTTCTGAAAGAGGTGTATACACATTCAAGTGCGGTAGATGAAGATGGTTCTGGCGCGAAGTGAAATTCAACCGTAATCAAGGTTGCTGCGGCGCGCTGCACGGACGTGGATCAGCTTTGCAGGCGTTTGTACATGCAATGCCGGCTTGAAGTGCCGATGAGTAAAATGACTGAGAAGTCAAATGTAACATATCATCGAGAATAAAGTACCTACATATTGATAGGGAGTTAGAATACGACAGCCCCAGTGGTCGTTGGCCAATATTTAATATCAATGTGGTCAACCCTCATCCCTCAAGATGCCTTCAACTCTCGACAGCAAGTGGTTGTCGTAAATCAACTTGTGGGAGTTTCAAGACCGATGGGAACGGGATTTCCTACGATTACACGTCAACAGATGTAACAAAATATTGGGTTTCTCCCACACCACCTGAGAATCTCGCTTTCGCTCCTCTCCAGGCACAAAAGCTACACAAGGAGGTAGACCCTTGGGCAAAAAAGTTGAAAGTACGGAGTACATCGCTGGCAATCGTTTTGTTGCACGTGGGGAAGCATCACTCGCACATCGCCTGCGCCTCCGTGTCTCGACGATGGGCACACAGCAGGAGAAGAAGAAAGAACATGCAAACGCGGAATATTGAAGACCTCGAGGGTTACTCCAACGCCGCTGACATAGTTGTGTGGACAAACGTACAGGTGGTAGGTATCTGTATTCGAATGCATCAAGACAACGTTCGGAGCAATTTCCGGAGGAGTGTGGAGAAAGCTGTATCCGGGACCGCCGAGCTTCTCCGCAGAGCCCGGCTCATTTGTCCAATAACAATTACCGCATGGTCTGGCGAGCACCGAACAAAGCCTTTAATACCCCGCCAAACAGGCATTCTTACCGCAATTCCCAAGACAAGACTAATACCAAGTTCGCAAGATCCCACGGTCATCCTTGCTGACGTCACAATACCTGTCGGTCCAAGTGGGATGACATACGATGCTCGTCACCCATACTTTCCGCCTACCCTTGCACTAATACGCCTAGCCTGGTGGCACATCATGCTCATGGACGTTTCTGGAGCTAGAAGCTTCTCCCAGAGCTGGGAAACCGCTGAGAAGCTGAGAGGAAACAAAACAGGCGGCCAATCGGTGCTATGACGCTCGTATCGCGGCTCTACCACGGCTCCCCAAAGGACTGGATCATGCGGGGAAAGCTGCACGTCGTCTGCAAGCAGGACCGGCGAAGCCAGCCAGCCAGCCAGCTTCATTTCTCGGTGTCTGTCTCTCTGCCTTGCTCAACGTGACAGCGCCCTTGTCTCGATTGGTAAAAGTTGCGTGTTGTGGCGTCCAACGTGTCGTCTGCCATGCCGCGAACCCAAGATGCCTGCGATGGCGCAGAATTGACTCGGACCCAGCATATTCCAAGCCCAACGGCGCCGAACAACGGTAACCTTCTGCTCGGCCGCCCACGTAAACCCGCAGGAAACGAAGGAGTTTTCATAATTGTGTTGGTCATTATGTCTAACATCCTGGGAAAGCCTATGTACATACATTTGGGTTCACTGCCCCCTGCTACCGGCCCGGGTCTGCCCTGGCCTTGCTGCGGTACTTGCCCATCTCAGGCGACCGACGATCCCTCCTGGCGACGAACCCGTCCAAGCTTCCCCTCCCGACCTAAAGCAAGTGAAGCTACAGCCGATCCTGGTGGGTAGCCTGGCAGCTTCCCATATGCATAACGTGCTTCCCTCTGTGCCCATTTATACCTGGTCGTAAGCCACTTCATCCGAAGTGAACACCTCGTCTGCGTCCCTGGATCTACCCGTTCAATAATACTACCATTGTGTATATACTAGCTCCTCCGAGAGCTCAATTGAACGCCATGGTCAACTTTGCGCTGGCCCTCGCAGCTGTAGCTGTCTTGCCCCGGACAGCTCAGGCTTTGTATGAGAATGGGTCTGTTGTCGCTCCTTGCGACTCGCCCATTTACTGCCATGGCGACATCTTGAAAGAAGTTGAACTGGCAAGACCGTTCTCAGACTCCAAGACATTTGTAGACATGTGAGTGCCCATTGACACCACCATGTGACCAAAATTCGACCTAGGCTCTCTACTGACATTCATCCCTACTCGAAAGGCCTGCAATCAAGTCCCTGGAAGAGATACAAGCAGCATTCAACAATCTGTCGAAACCTTTGAGTAATAATACTGCACTCAATGACTTCCTACGCGCCAATTTCGCCGCAGCAGGTGGTGAACTCAAGGAAGTACCCAAGGACCAATTGAAGACGGACCCAAAGTTTCTCGACAAGATCAACGATACAGTGATCAAGGAATTCTCTCAGAAGGTCATTGCCATCTGGCCGGACTTGACCCGCACCTACGCTGGCTCTGCAAGCAACTGTACAACATGTCCAAACAGCTTCATCCCAGTCAACCACACCTTTGTGGTTGCCGGAGGCCGATTCCGCGAGCCTTACTATTGGGACTCTTTCTGTAAGAACACACTACTGAAGTTCATGTTCGTAGGGCGAGTTGTCAACTGACTTTCAATGTCATGTAGGGATTCTTGAGGGTCTCTTACGCACGGGTGGCGCTTTCACTGAGATCTCCAAGAATGTTATCGAAAACTTCTTGGATCTCGTGGAAAAACTCGGGTTTGTGCCCAATGGCGCTCGAATCTACTATCTGAACCGTTCACAGCCGCCATTGCTGGCACAGATGGTGCGCCTCTATGTCGAGTATACAAGCGACCGGAGCATACTAGAACGCGCAATCCCTCTCCTCATCAAGGAGCATGAATTCTGGATGACAAACAGAACTGTTGAAGTCAACAAAAATGGGACTACATACACTCTGAATCAGTCAGTAAAATATCAAGACCTTCAAACTTAGTAGCTTGTAGCTAACATCAAGGATCAGATACAACGTCACCAACACACAACCAAGACCCGAATCATACAGAGAAGACTACGTCACTGCTTCGAACGCTTCCTACTACTCAACCAACGGAATCATTTACCCCGAGGTCGAGAAATTGAACGACACCGAAAAGGCCCGTGTGTATGCCAATCTTGCGTCCGGTGCAGAGAGTGGCTGGGACTACAGCTCACGATGGCTTTCTCGACCTGCAGATGCGGCGAGGGACGTCTACTTCCCTCTCCGATCTCTCAACGTTCTGGAGACTGTCCCTGTGGAGCTGAACTCCATCTTGTACTGGAATGAGATGACCATTGCTGCGCTACTCAACTCCACAAACAACGGCACGGGAGCAGTGGCTTGGACTGAACTTGCCACCAAACGAAGTCAAGCTATGTACGATTTGATGTGGAACTCGACCCTTTCAAGCTACTTTGACTACAACGTGACATCAGGAGGGCAGAATATCTACATTCCGAAAGATGATGATGCCAGCACTGTTGAAACGAACACCGCCGAAGCAGAACAACAAGTTCTCTTTTCGGTTTCCCAATTCTACCCGTTCTGGACAGGAGCGGCACCCTCTCACCTCAAGAATAACCCTTACGCGGTAAAGCAAGCCTACCAGCGTGTTGAGAAGTATCTAGACATCAAGAAGGGCGGTATCCCCGCCACAAACCTCAAGACAGGTCAACAGTGGGATCAGCCCAACGTCTGGCCGCCCTTGATGCACGTTCTTATGGAAGGTCTCCGCAGGACACCTGCCACCTTTGGAGAGTCGGATCCCGCCTGGCGTGATGTCCAGAGTCTCGCCCTCCGCCTCGGGCAACGGTACCTGGACTCTACCTTTTGCACGTGGTACGCTACGGGGGGTTCAACCAGCGAGACTCCTCAGCTCCAGGGCTTGACCGCCCAGAGCGTCGGAACCATGTTTGAGAAGTACGGCGATAACTCAACCAACGTTGCGGGTGGCGGTGGAGAATATGAAGTGGTTGAAGGATTCGGCTGGACGAACGGTGTTCTCCTTTGGGCCGTTGATGTGTTTGGAAATGACTTGAAGCGGCCCGACTGCGGGAACATCACCGCAGCCAACGTGCATCCCGCCAAGAGAAGTTTGCCTCAAAGCGCGGTAGAATTAGATTCCTACGATGCTTCATGGATCAAGAAGTTTGGTAGACGCGCTGAAGAGGCCGCAAGGAGGGTGTAGAGTCGAAAATGAGCTGATCTGCGATGACAATATTCTGTTAGTGTATCGCGATAGTATCACAGTGTTGAGGCTGTCCAAATGGGGATGCCGGTATGCTTTAGGAGCGCCATCAGGTTAATAATATCTTCACGACGTTTACGTAGACTCACTCTTTGAGATGTTGATCGCAGTGCTCTCTACCTGGCGTTGACGCAACCAAATGTTTGCCAACGACGTGGTAGGTGAGCTAGCCCATGGTGTAGACCTCTTCGACTTGAGTCAAGATCCACCTGAAATTGCTCTCATAGATGAAGCCGAATGGTAGAAAAAAAGTCTGGCCCTAAGCTGCCTCCAGTTTCTGTCAGTCGTCTTCGATGTTTGCTGACCTGCTGCGCAGGTGCCCGAGCTTGAGACTTTTACCGAAGTATACAAAGCGCCCAACCATGACCCGATATTTCATGGAACCGGATGATATACCAAAAACCACCTGATCCGCTTCATGTCGTGAAGATAAGAGTTGAAGCTGCTCTCACACATGGAAGCTGGCTTGCTTGTTATGATGGGCCAGCTCTTGCCAGATGGTGACAGCTGAGGACTTGAATAGGTAAGTAATCCGGGGGTGGTCTGTGCGCCTTCCAGGTTGATGACGGCTCGAACGAACCGGGAGTTGCCTGAGGTGCTTGCCAGCTGCCGCCGCGGGCACACTCCAAAGCCGAGAGCACCGGCCAACACCATTTTTTGAGCTCCGCCAGACGAACCGTGACGTTGAATACTGATCTGACAAAGCTCCACCATCTGCTTTCCTATTCCGAAGCTCCAGCAACCCACAGTCAATCGACCGCAAAACAGCACCGATCGAAGCTCCCTTGCCTCGAGCTGAATACCCATCGAACCGACGCGCCGCGCCCACGCCCGAACTTAATCATGTCTGGAGGAAGAAATCCCATGGAGGAGGCCTACGAGCGCTTCAGGGCCGTCGCTCAACAGCAGCAGAAGCGCGGCGGCTTCGGCGGTGGCGGCATGCCCGGCGGCCCTCGCGGCGCTGGCATGGGACTTGCCGGTCTGGTTCTTTTGGGAGGTGCTGCCTTCGTGGCCCAGAATGCGCTATTCAACGTCGATGGTGGTCACAGAGCGATCAAGTACCGGAGGACAACGGGTGTGAGCAAGGAGATCTACAGCGAAGGTAGGCAGCACCCCTCCACACCATTTGAGGAGGCATCGTTCCCCTTGATATTGGTAATGAAAACGTGCTGACAGTTTTTCTCTTCTCAGGAACCCACTTGATCATCCCCTGGTTCGAGACCCCCGTCACCTACGATGTTCGCGCGAAGCCCAGAAACGTCGCCTCTCTCACCGGAACCAAGGACTTACAGATGGTCAACATCACCTGCCGTGTTCTTTCCAGGCCTGATGTTAAGGCCCTGCCTCAGATCTACCGCACTCTCGGCACAGACTACGACGAGAGAGTGCTTCCATCCATCGTCAATGAGGTTCTGAAGAGCGTTGTTGCTCAATTCAACGCTTCCCAACTCATTACCCAGAGAGAGATGGTTGCCAAGTTGGTTCGCGAGAACCTCTCCCGCCGTGCTGCACGGTTTAACATTCTGCTGGACGATGTGTCCCTGACGGTATGTAAACGACACTCCAATGAAACCCCCATGATGCCTTGCTAACTATTTGCCATAGCACCTTGCCTTTTCCCCGGAATTCACAGCTGCCGTTGAGGCGAAGCAGGTTGCCCAGCAAGAAGCTCAGCGCGCGGCGTTCGTTGTCGACAAGGCTCGCCAGGAGAAGCAGGCCATGGTTGTCAAGGCCCAGGGTGAGGCTCGCTCTGCTGAGCTGATTGGAGATGCCATCAAGAAGAGCAAGGCCTACGTCGAGCTGAAGAAGATTGAGAACGCGCGCGCCATTGCTCAACAGATGCAGGAGTCCGGCAGCAAGAACCGTTTGTTGCTTGACTCTGAGGGCCTGGGCCTGAACGTGTTTGATGATAGCGAGAAGAAATAAGGCATCGGCATTTGGGCGCGGATTCTCCACACTGTACTCTTACAACATCGAAAACCGGCATGGACTTGTATAATAATGAAAAAAATCGCCTCTGAGAGCTTCGAGAACACTTCATCTGCAAACGTAGGAGGCTCGAAAGGGTTGGTGGAAAATCCATCCATGTACAACAAACAGAATCGCTTCAGTAATTCTGGTACAGCACAATAGAAAGTTCCACACCGTGAATTTCCCTCGTTACGTTGCTCATCTGTAAAGTACTTTACAGTAGCAAGCTTGCTACGTTTGGGATTGTCTTTCGTACGTTGAAGTACTTTCTTCGACAGCCGTCGATCCATTTGCAGCACAGGCCGTCGGAACTGGTGGATGCCCGCACAGCTTTAAGACGTGCCTGGGGTGGGCCCGGGCATCTCAGAGGTCCCTCCCCTGCTCAGCTTACAGAAGGGCCCCTCCCCCACCACGACTTCCTGCCTGCGGATAGCTCGAGACTAATCGTACAACCGTCACATCCTCAACCAACAAACCGCACGACCCCGCCAAGTCGAATTCGAATACCACACAGCCTCGCATTTTCTACCTCCCCTCGAAACCAAAACCAAGCCCATAGATTGTTGTCGCCATTTCACACACGCCACAATGTTAATCAAGTATGCGCATCTCTGTCCTCCGGACCTCTGGAGGCGGTGACCCGACTGTACCCATTCGAATAAACTGCTTACGCCAACTAGGGTGCGAACGCTTACCGGCAAGGAGATTGAGCTGGACATCGAGAACGAATACAAGGCGCGTACCCATGCGACACATTGCCCACCGAATACAACGGACGGAGACAGAGAGGTGGAGAATAGAACGCTGACCAACCTTGCAATAGGTCTCTCAGATCAAGGAGAAGGTTGAGGAGAAGGAAGGCATCCCGCCCGTGCAGCAAAGACTCATCTACGGTGGAAAGCAAATGTAAGGTGTAATCCTCTTGGAGCGTGAAATCATGCTTCCGCCAGTGTGATGGGGCTGGGGGAGCTTGGGAGAATTTCCTACGGAGACCATTCCGCTGACAAGATGCTTGAACAGGGTCGACGACAAGTCCGCATCTGAATATGGCCTCGAGGCTGGCGCTACATTGCATTTGGTTCTCGCCCTTCGAGGTGGAAACTAGATCTGTCTCTGGCAATGGCTTTGAGCATGAGAAGACAGGCCAGTAAACAATACGCAGCTCAGGTGTTTTCAGCGTTCTTGAGACGGAGCATTCATCGGCTACAGAGCCGACAGGGGATGATATGCAGTAGCGACGTCCATTTGCGACATGGAAGTATGGAATATTGCCTGTCCAAAGGGTGAGGGGTCTCAAGGCAGGCTAGAATGCCAGGCTTAACTCTCAAAAGCTAACGCCTGGATTGGGATTTGGCACCAAGGGAACCAAAATCTAGCGTGTAAAGGCAGCCTGCGATAATCCGCACATGGAGAATGAAGCCAGTCACATGAACACAGCATGGGATCAAACAAATGGTGCTGAGTTGAAAGCCAATGCACGGTCAAGCATCTTCAAACGAGTTCAATTTCACCCTGCCATGATGGGCAGAACGACCATGCGAAGCCTGAGGGTATATACCATAACCTACCCAACGCCTGAATTCCAATGCTATGTGACCTGTCCCTATACCAACGCCCGACGACCTTTCATTTTACAATACTCGTGATTCCTCATTTTAGCCATACCTGATTATACTGTCCTTCAGCGTCTAGTCTTCTTTTTCGGCATGAAAATGTCGACAGCCTTTCTCTTTCTGGGCAGCTCCTGATTGCCCAGAATTGGACGAGCTTGTTGCGCTTCGTCCAACGACGCTGGTAAAGGAGGAGATTGCGGGCCGCTGTTCTGAGCAAGTACTTTGTGCGTGCGGGAATAATCCATACTCGCAGAGGATGATGGCTCGGGTCTGGTTGGTGGACGCTCAACTCTGATATTGCTTTTGGGCCGAGCAGCGTTTCCGAGAATACCACCCCCACGTCGCAAGCCCGATGTTTGCGAACTAGAGGTAGATCTTGCAGATGTGGAAGAATTGCGATCCTTGTATGCTGAGGATTGGGAAGGGTTTGTAGGCATGGAGGAAGCTGCCGTATCCCGACTGTGGCGAGAGGAAGATACTATGTTCTTGTTCTTCTTCGGCGTTCCCTCATCGCTGAACAAATCACCGTCTTCGCCGTCTGATGAATCGGAAACGTATGTGGCTTTGGACTGGGGAGTGACATATGTGGAATGTGTGGGCGGGCGACTGCTGGTAGATGTTGGCCGAAAGACTGGTTGGCTTGAGATTCGGTGCTCAGCAGCCATCGAGGGCGGGGCCTGTTTCAATCGAGGGGCCCTGATCATGCCAGTTGGTACAGCCATGGTGCTTCTTATGCCGACAATCTCTTTAGCCTCTCTACGGGCTTTCTTCATGACGCTGGCGCCCGTCGTCATCTTCATTCTGCTTCCGGCGGCCCAGCTCAGGGAACTCGGGAGCTCCCTCTTTCCTCGAGGCTGCGTTGAAAAGGTGCGACCGGTCTTGGGTGGCTTGGGCAAGAACCTAGCGAACTTGGGGTCTACGATTCTGCTGACGTTGTTGTCCTTCTTCTGCTGGAGCCCCTGGACCCTGGCGAGAAGCTCGGCCTCAGCCTGTTGCTGAGCCTCGCGGCGTTCCTCCGCATATCTCTCGTATATCTTGTACCACTTTGACGGATTCTTAGGCGCGTAATTCTTTTCGTGGCTTTCGGATGGAAATTCCTTCTTGATAAGGCGCAGCCAAAGCTCGGAGGTTTCGCCCTGTATGAAAGGGGAGTTGAGCTCGATCTCTCGGAGCTGAGCCGGGTTCGTGACTCTGAGGAGGATTTCGCGAACATGGTGGTATTGGAGGGCGTCGCCATTGCCGACACTGCTGAGTTCTGTGATGTGTCTCTGGCACATAGCAATGCACAGTTCGGCAAGTGACTTAGTCGGCGCCATGGTGAGTGATGTAGGTGAATTCTTGAAGAGGGCCTAGCTGATAGTCGTTGCCGCCGTGATGAGAGCGCTCGGTCGTAAGGTCGTTGATGGGGAACTGGCGAATCGCAGGCTCATCGTTCAAATAATGGATGCAGTGGGTATTTAGGTAATTCGAATAGTAGGTTATTGTACCAGAGTGTTTCTGTCTTGCTAGAGGGGACCCCTCGAGGCTCTGTGGTAACAGGCCGAGCCGAGAAAAGTACTATACTCAAAAATCAGATATTCGTTGTTGCTGGAGTATGTAAGTGATGGCGGGAAGTTGCAGGTGGATGGGTCCTTTTAAAGAGGTCACGAACACTGAAGTGCCAGATCCGTAGTGGGGCATGCGGCTTTTAAGTGGCTCCCAAAGCTGACCTGGACGGGCCCTTGTCATAGAGCTAAGGCAGACCGTGACTGTCACTGGGGTACCTCGAAGGATAAATGATGGCCGGGCTCATTGTGCAAATAGGTTTGCTTCTAATAACCAATGATTGAGACCTCCGGGCTCGGACATTTGACTTGCTCATATTACGAACCAAGGCAGATGTCAAAGTATTATGGTGTTAGGATTTGGATTCGAGAAATAGTCGAGTGGCATGGTAGGTACTTGAACCTCCAAAAGTCGAGGTTGGCTCCGATTCACCCATGTCACATGATGACTGAGCTAGTCTACTTCGGGGCACAAAGGTACCTCCAGGCTACTGCATTGAGTGGATCTTGACTGCCACTCGTAGCTTCTCTGTTGCTTGCTGTGACGGAGCTAAGATAGATGTGGACTATCCTGATCCCTCTGCCGTCATTGCAAAAAACACCAACTCTTCCTCGACTTCGCGACCTTGGATAGCAACGGAGCATTTGAGGTAATCCCGAATATTCAATATGGCGGACTCAACATACATCAAGCCGGAGCCATATATCAAGCCCGATCCCGAAGCCATACCTGCCGCTCCTGTCGACGACGATGACCTATACGAAGATGCTGGCGATCTGGAGTTCTTCGACCAGTTCGGTGACCAAGGCTCCTTCGGCCAGGCATATCTAGCACGCGTTCCGAAGGACCTGTGGGAAGCATGGGATAGCTTGCCGGATGACGCAGAAATCGAGATTGGCACCATGCGACAGTGGGATGTGGTCCGTCCAGATGGCAGCGTTGAGGTACTGTGATATACGCGACGCGACAAGTCTGGATCGACGGTTGAGCTAACTTTTTTTGCGCAGCACCGTTTCAAAATGTTACTCAATTCCGACCGCGCCGAGCACCAGCTGATGCCGAAAGAATACGACTTAGAGATGGGCAAGGAGATCGCGCGCAGCACGTTCGTTTTCACCGAGGAGGACCTACCTGGCTTCAAGGCCAAATCCAAGGCGCGAACAGATGCTGCAAACGCTGGCATTCCGGCTCGATTCCTGAGACCCAAGACGGAGAAGGTGGAGAAGAAACCATTCGAGAAGGGTCGCAAATGGCAACCCTACTACCGCAAAGCGATCCCAAGTCAGTTTGATGCTCTCAAAGTGGCGCAGATCAGCGGCTAATTCAACGCAGAGAAGACAAAGATTGCCGCTAGGATCCAGTACGAGCTGGCGTGCAAGCCAGTCGATAACGCGGAGAGCCAGGCAATTCTTCAACGGAAGCAAGTCGAGGCTCAGCGGCCCAAGCATACCCTGCAGATCATGGAACAGCGCGCAGCCAACAGCATTATCCACCATGGCTCTGCAGCTGCGGTTGAGAAGTTTGGCTCCTTCATTGTGAGTAGCACTCAGTGGGAACTGGTAGGTCCAGTACTAATGGAGAATAGAAAACGTCTGCGCCTACCAAGGCCACCAAGCCGAAGAAATCCGAAAACAGATCCGCCCGCATGTCGGAGGAACAACTGTTGGATGGTCTCATGGAGGCTTTCAGGAAGTACGAGTACTGGAAGATGTCGATCCTCAAGGCTAGATTTGACCAGCCCGAGGCTTTCTTACGCCAGACATTGGAAAAGATAGCGGTACTTAACAGGTCCGGCATTCACGCCAACGAGTGGTCGCTTCAGGAGCACTTGAAGAGCATGGCGTCCGGCGCCACTAATGAGACGGCACCGGAGGAAGCCGCCGCAGAGGACGACGATGACGAAGTGGTTATGGAGGATGTTGTCTAGTGACCATTCGCAATTATACACAGATCGGGCACAGGAACCGCAGGGCATCGCAAGGCGTTTGGAAGGGATTTTTTTTTTCGCATGGAAAGTCTTGGATGGAGGTGGCTCTTACAGTTAGGGACTTTTTGATACCCCTGGGACACTAGGTGACGACACACGTGTCGAAGGGTTTGCAGCTGTCCCTCCCATCACAGAACGATAGAGCAAAACAGAGAAAGCGATATACACTCTGCCTGGGATGCAGTCGATGAAGTCCACATCCGATGGTGGTAGCAACAGAGTGTCCACTGTCCCGACTATTGACATGAGCATGGCTGTCTTTCTTTCCTAGTCCAACACCACTGGTGATCAAAGTGGGCAAGTGGGGAAGTGCACAGTCGTCATCACTCGACTTCATCGGCTTGGATCCAACTAAGCCAATCTTCCCGAACACAACGTCAACACCGCGCTGTATCACGTGTTGCGGAAATGCCCCCTTTAACTCCCATTCTCGTGTTGGACTTTGATGGTACCATTACGACAAAGGATACGATTGGTACATTGGCAGAAATCGGCCTCCAATTCCAGCAGCAGCGCGGGGTTGATCTCTCTTCAAAATGGCAGCAGATCCTGCTAGATTACGGCAAAGACCATGCCAACCATGTGTCCACGTATCTTCCAATCGCAGATGACAGATCCTCGCTTAAAGACGAGCTCGCCTTCTTGCGGGGTCTGAAGGAGGTTGAAATGCTATCAGTCCAGAGAGTCGAGAGCTCAGGCATCTTCCGGGGCATCAGCCTGGAATATCTTACACTTGCCGGTGTAACTTGTCGAAAGGAAGGGAGAGTCAAGTTAAGGGATGGTTTTGCGGAGCTCATGCATGCTGCCAGAGAGAAGGGCTGGTCCGTCGCAGTAGTCTCCGTCAACTGGTCTAGATCATTCATCAAGGGTGTCCTCTCAGACTATAGCGTTGACGTTGTCGCTAATGAGATCGAGCTGAACGGAAGCATCTCAGGGCCGGAAGTAGCAGGCTCATCAACAAGGCAGGCATCTTTGATGACGTGCGAGGATAAGCTGCGAGCCCTTCGAACATTGGCGGCTCGGCGAGGAGTAGAGGATGTTGGGGCGCTGGTGTATTTTGGCGACTCCACTACGGATATTGAGTGTCTTTTGGCAACCCGAGGAGTTGTGATATCGTCCAACGCCGAGTCGAGTTTGATGAAGACTCTGAGGAGAATAGGGTACCAAGTGCCAAAGGTGGATAATGTTCAGGCGCCCGGAGGCACAGCATGGGCATCAACCTTTGTAGAGGTTCTCGAAAGTGAATACCTATCTTTCAAGAAGTCCACATAATAAACCTCTAGTCTTCTACACAATGCTAGTTGATCCTTTGGTCGTGACGATGTTATGTTAGGCAGTGCTGTTGTCTCGCATCCTTTGTTCAGACATCCCGCCTGATAACCACACAAGATCTCGATCCCCTTTGTTAACTTTGGTAGAAAACATCAGTCAGAGGCCCGCGAAACATCTACATGTCTAGAAACAACTGCAGTACTTTGGGTTTCGATTCATGTTCGACCTAGGCAGGTCATCTATGCCACACGGTCTGACGTCGAGCATATAAGCGTGTCGAGGTTCGGGTCGAAGTTGCCATGTCAGATCTCTACTTCAACCACAAAACACCAGTAAGTCCAATCCCGCTCGACTTTTGCGTTTCTACTACTCTTTTATCTAGCAACCATGTGTTTCTACCGTGCCACCGTATACGAGTGCAAGCACAGTGAACTCGGCAAAAAGGTTACAGTCTGCAAATTGCAGAGGGACCTCCTCAAGTACACGGAAAGTGCTACTAGTCACACATGCATCGAGCGCCGTGTACACTCGATGAACTGCGTCCGGAAGGCTGGAGTGTGTGACAAGTGCAAGCGTCTGGACACACTCAGAGACCGCACGGCAGATGCGTTCAAGAGCCTACAGAACACGCTACGAAAGCGCAACGTTGTCGATGACGATTCTGGGGGTGATGACCTTAGAGCTCTCGAGACCTTTGAGGCTGCCGAGGTCCCCAAGGTTGAACTTGATTCGGATGATGATAGTACTGCAGCTCACGAGATCTTTGAGCTTATCCCGACTCCTAGGCTTGACATGACCCCTGACGAGCTTGATGACGAGGGTGCCACTTCATCGAAGGGAGAGACTTCTGCGGCTTCTGAGGTCTCGGAAACCTCTGAAACCCAAGGTGCCTCTGAGTCTTCCCGCGAAACGGTCGAGGCTATTGACACAGCCAAGAGTATTGTCGAAGATGAGGCTACGGGAGAGCCGCAAGGCTCTTCTACTTGATTACCAAGCGATGGATGTTGGAATTTTCCGTAAACCCACTCAGAAGACATCAATGTCGTGCACTGCCAAGTCTGATTCCTTCTTGCTTCGTCCTGTGTTGTATTGTTTCTCATACATAATTTAAGATTGAGTTGGCTGCTGATAAAACACGTGAGGTTTTGCATCATTTTACCACCGCTCAGTGAGGATGATCTTCTCTTTGATGCTCTCTGATGTAAGTGGCATCTGGTGATATCGCAAAGCATGACGAGGAATTCTGGAAGGTGATCTCGAGTGGCTGAGTTGAGCCGCATTGCGTGAGACGTAAGCTGCATGTCCATCATTTTGATTAACAAACCCGGGCCGAGGCTCAGCAGGAAGCCTCCGTAACAGGCAGAGGGCTACCGTTGATGATGGATGTAGGGCTTGATCCCGGCTTTGGTGTTCTTTCTCTATAGATGCCACGCTCGGCTTTCAACTGGAAGCAGATTATTTTCTCACGCGTTAATTGGAATGAATACGGCAAGTAAAGACTTGGAGGTCTATGTACGGAGACAATTAAGCAGAGCGAAGGTCAGAGGCTTCAGTACCTCAATAGCCACCACCACGAAAGATAACAAAATATCAACAGCATGGCGATCTTTTTTACAAATTGGAGAAACATAGTACGACGGGAGGCTGGGATACGTATACTTCGACATCGAGACTCAGTAAATCGTATGTGTTCTGCCTTCATGTGCATCTTGTCATCTGTAAAGACTTGCAAGTTTAGCTGCTCAGAGCGTGAGGCATACCGCAAACGAGACTTCACCGCTCGCTTCTGAGTTGGGATTTCGAGAGGTAAGGGTGGCGCGGACCACAACCGTGGCGAGAGGTAAGATCATACCTAGGTCCCGTACACCGGCATTGGTCTCCGAGATGCGGGCCCGATCCGGTCGAGTTACATCGGGAGATGCAAGGCCGCCTCACGTCTGGAATGCTCGGGAATCGCCACACTGGGGCTCAAATTCCTCGCCTTGTGTTGGGATGACTGCGGGTTGAACTCCCAGTAACGTAACGCAAAGCAAGCTTCGCTCCTCGCGGGTTTCCACAATTTCGTAACCAAAACAAGAGCAATCCTACAATAGGAGAAACTTCTCACGACACACTGGCAGTATCGTAGCTACTGGCATTGCGTGGGCCTAGAGTCAGCTCCTCCTAGCAGGGCCTGGGTAGGAGCGGCGAACCTGTCGAGGAGTAAAAGGCATCCGACGGCAAGAAGACTGGATGAGACAATTCAGACACGGCTGGGCCAGGTGTCAGGTCACCTTTAGACGGGTTACAGTGCCGACAAGCGAGCGGATGTGCCAAAACACGACACGCAAAGCATTGACAGAAATGTTTAGAGGTGTGCAGACTCGTGTGCGATCCAAACTCCCAATTCTCGGTTTGGACGGAGGGGACTGTTGAGGCGCAGACATGGATGAGACCGGTACCCTTCTCAGGCTCCTGACGAGCTTTGTTGTTCACAGGGGTTGTTGTGTAGGTATGTATCAGTCGGGCCAAGCGATACAAATCATCCGATGGCACGAAGGGTTTGAGGCTTCAATAACCCCATGTGCCCGCTCACATACTGCAAACGGCCGTTACAATGTGCGTTGCTTCGAGTCGGCTCAGTCTGTTGAATGCCTATCGGTATAGGGGGCCTAGAAACGAGGTAGGGAAACTTGGCATGGAGTCGTCTTCGTATGACGGACGGACGAGCATTGAAGACAATGAAAACGAGGTGCATAATGCAGGCTTTGTTCAATGAGGTTAGGTGATTTAAGATACCAGGCGATGCAATGCAGAGAAGCCGGGGGTGGGCCGAGGATATTGGCGTTTGGTGTTTGGCGTTCTAGCCGTCAACATGGTGTACACTATGATGTTGGAGCTGGAAAGACCGTGCGTACCTGGGTGAGGGTAAGGCTGGCCAAGGAGGTTTAGATTGAATGGCAATGATGCGTTTGGTGTGCCAGAAAAGGAGCCATTATGTATATAGATTTATGGTCTGAGTGTTCCAAGTTGACGGTCAAACGATCCAGGAGCTCTCCTGGAGCAAAGTAAGCCACTAGAAACGTATCTCGGCGAGGACGGGTTTTGTAGCAGCTGGTAAGCGAAGTAGTTGCTGCGCAAACGTGGCATAGTTCGGATGGGACTTTGTGGAACAGAGAAACGCGGCTCTAGCTGTGATGAGATCATTAATATCCGCACGCTAGAGTGCATACTATAGTGCTGTATAATATTGGTGAGGGTGGGGATTCTGAGTAGGAGGCGGCATGACAGAGGCAGCGGTGTCCTTGGAAACTCAGATAGGGTTGCACCCAACGCTAGATCACATCGACATCTCAGGCGAACCAGAGTCGACTCCTCTATCGGGTTGTCATCGAGTATATTGACAGCTCGTAGCTCAGAGAGGTGAAAGAGAGCAATGCTCTTACAGACAGCATCAGTGAAGTGATTTCTCACCTATACTCCTTGCCTTCTCCTGCAGGTACCTGGGCTCTGCACAGGAGTTCCCAGCTCGGTCCGGACGCTCGCCAAGGCAGAAAGATTCATGCAGGATGAGGAGAGACCGGGCGTGCTTCGCTCCCATTGAGGTGTCATTGACACTGAGAAGGAGAGGCATATCTGAATCTTGGTTTCGAGGCGTCCCGTCGGCTATAGTGACCAACAGATCAGCAGCTTTGCCAAGGAGATGTACTGACAGAAAAAGTTGAACCTAGATTGAGCCCAGCGAAAGCCTCAAGCTTCGATCAGACAGTGCAAATGATACCCTCGTATCGTGGAATCTGGATGGGACCAATAGGTAGAGGTAGAGAGGATCTACGACTACCTTCCACAGTAGGTACCTACCCAAGCACCCAATGTCAACATGGAAAGGAAAGGCTAATGTACCTGTGTATCCGTAGGGCGTTGGATCTTTGGGTAAGGTGCACTTCACAGTAGGAACCAATGGCGGCCTGTCTAAGCTGCTTAGGTGTATATTTACGTAAACCTACTCTTCACACTAACGACGTGCATGCATGCACTTTACCTCGAGGGGAGGCACCCCAGATGTTGTACCTGCCTTACCTTATTTGATTTGATTCAGGTACCAACGTACCGCATCTGGCTCGACTTCTAAGCGCTAAGGTAATCGGTAGCAATCTCACAATCACCGAGAGGCCTTGAACTTCTGGCGTGGTTTGTGATTCGAATTTTGGAAGCCTGAAAGCCTCCAAACATAGAGCTGTGCATAACACTCGGACAGAACGGATACGGAAAAGTCATCGCAAGTTGGTCGCCACGGGTCACCCTGGAGATCAGAAGGTACATTGCGGAGCAAGTTGGCGGGAGTGAAGCAAATTGCGCCAACTGGCAACTGCTTGTAAAGTGGAATACAGGGGGGGAAAGAGGAGACGCAACTTGCAAATGGAAGGCTGCTTGCACCCCGCATCCGCGTGCGCGCAGCACGCGGATATCAATCAGGGTCTGGCGGCATCGCCGCGCCGGCCCTCTATTCGCAGGGGAAAAAAGGACATGGAGAGTGGAGGACTAGGAGTTGTGGAGGCTGGGCCGGTTGCCGCCGCATCCACTTGGAGCATTGCAGCAATATAGGTACCGTCCAGTCCTGCATCCTCGAGGCAGTGTCTGCGTGGAATATGTTTCTTTGCTGTGCCACGAGAGATGTACAGAAATAGAGATTGTGCTGACGACAGACCAGAGACGAGACAGACTCTGTACTTACCTCACTGTGCGGTGCTGGGAGACGACTACCTAGATTCATGGCAAGGTAAGGAAGGTATGGTGCATGACCAGCACACAAGCATCTGACAATCCCAGTCCCCTGCAGCAGCGCTTTCTGTTGATCGTGACCAAATGGTTCGCCGTAGCGGGCGCCGCTCTGAGGGGTCTGAGTCTTGACTCTGCAGTACGGATACCAACCAATGTGCCAGTCAAGTAGTAAGCTAGGCAAGCTTGCTAAGGCTCGGGTAAAGACGACCTGGGTGCCTCGACAAATTTGGGTGCCCATTATGCTGTTTTCCTGCTGCTGCATAAGGTATCGAGTCCAACTCAATCAATCTCGTCTTCAGCGCCTCTCATCTTTTATTAAGGGTCGCTTGCCAGAAGGACATCCCCCTCCCAACATCCACTCGTCCCCGACACAACAAACAACCTGCGGACGTCAAGTAGATTGCTAATACAAGCCAGGGGAAAGGAAACAGAAAGAAGCGGTCCGTTACAGGCAGACAAAGAGCCATGTGTAATATGCGGCGTGCAGCGTGCAGCAGCGGTTTGCCGATGGCCTAAAGTGATGGCGCCCGCCCCCCTCCTCTGCTTCATTACCATACGCAGTAAGGCAACTTACGAATACAGCTTACTCCTGAGCCCTGTGCCCAAGTTCTCGGTGGTTCTGGGCGTGCCCCAAGTCCCCTAACCGATTAGATACTCCCCATACTGGGCTCAGTAGGGTAAAGTGTCTTGGGTGCCAACCGCGCCTTAGTAACCTTCCCCCCACCCCCACCCCCTTTCCTCATGGCTTGGATGTATACATCCCCACTGTGATTGACAGAGAATACCTTCCCAATGTACTTTATGCTCGTCACGTTTTCATGTATCATGCGTCTCCCTAGGTACTTGCCTAGGTTCCTAACCAGTGCATTGCTTTACAAACTCCCTATCTGCCTTCCATCTCCCGCCTCTCCGCCTCCAGCATCCGCGTCCGTCCTCTCTCGTATATCTCCGGGCGTGCTATGGGCACCCCCGGCTACCCTCCCGTCCTTGCCCATCTTCCCTCCTTCAGAATCAGGACCCCTTCGTCAGCCGCCCAGGGCCCTTCTTCTCATTTGCAACCCGGAATGCGTGACTCTGCTTGACACCACCGCCTTTTTATCCTTCATATTGCTGCCCTTCTGCCCATCTTCTCGCCTATTCGTCGTGCCTTGTTTATTTGTTTCGTCTCTCTGCTCCTGCCCTGTCGTTGCTGCAGTTGCAACTCCGCTCCTACCGATCCCATCGAC